TTTTCCCTCCAAAACCCAACTCCCCGGGGGCCAAGTCGATCTTCGCCGATTTCACACACACAAACTCTCCCACAACTACACAAGTCACATCCCAATAGTAGCGAAATGGCGAAAATCTTAGCACGACGTGCACGACTCCATTCCGGTAATCGAGTTTGGGCCACTTTCAGTCATTCAATCTTGCCATTCCAATTGACATTACCCATGGGGTTTTTAGACACTCATGGGAAAAAGAAAAAATGAATGACGAGAGGGTTTCTGACCTTGCATGAGTCGCTTCCCTGCCCAACAAATTAATTCTTGGACTTTGATTGGGGGACAAGGGCTGATACTTGCTGCTGGGAGATCATCTAACCACGATCACGACAACATGTCAAGGACAAGTGCTCGCTCGCAAATCCGGCATTTCCCACAATCTTGATTTCACTTCATTTAAATCCGTTACTTGTTTTTGTTGGTTTTTCTTCTTTTCCATATGAGAAGTGTCTTCTTGACGTTCAATTATAAACGCTATTTCCCCCGGGGGGGTACCCGTCTAGTGTAGTGTAAATCGGTGGTCTAATCATGGATCATGTGGACGGGATGGGACCGATTTGGTACCTGACCATTCAAACCGGCCCTGGCCAGACCTGGGTTGCTCCTTGGTCATTGATTGACAACATGCGCTTGGCTTGTCAGACCTAGTACGTGTATATGAGCCTCAGCTATACACTACACTACAGCTTCTGGAAACAAAACTCCGGCCTGGGCAGCTGGACTAATTTCGTCCGCAAAAACAATTTCTTCACTCCACATGCTCGGACGAGCACCGAGGCTATACCAAATGTTTGAAACATTGAAAGATGGATGTCCCCACGTGTGTTTGACTGGCCTTGGCCTTTCATAGGCTGTATACATAGTACACAGACTTCAAACGGTTAGAATTAGACGTTTTGGTACGCACATTCCTTGGTTGGATCCAAGGCAGCAGATCAACATGACGCGAACTGGGGAACTATATATAGGTAGCCGAGCGAACGAAAGAGACGTGATGTTTTAAAGCAGAAAGCACAAAACAATAAGGAAAAAGATGGCACCACAGCAGATGCAGTGAGCAGAAGCATAAGCCCTTCCCGTCCCGTCTCGGCTTCCATCCCGACTTCAGATCGACTTCACCTTCAGCTTCGGACTAAGGTCCTCTATGTAGGCGTATATATGCGTGTATATAAAACGATCACACAGAACCCCCTTTCATGATCTCGATCATTACTGGATTATAAATGACATACACACAAGAATCATCTTTCACTTTTTTGTGTATCTTGGGACCGAATCACGGCATGTTCTGTCCGATATGTCTAGGTAACAGAAGAACGCTTTGGAAGAGGTTCGACGAGTGATTTAGACCACGTATTCGAGAATATCGTCATCTTTCTGTCTCGGATGCTCTTCACTGTCTAATTCCTCCAAAGAATCAAGCCGCCAAGGAAAGAAGACAATGAGACCTCCAGATCCAGAAAGACGCGAGATAGACACTATGATCCATTATTTCAAGCCACATGTTTGTTGTAATATATATATATTTCCGCAACTCTGTACGGACGTAGGAACCAAAATATCGGGGTTGTTTCAATACGCCACGTTTTACCAGGACACCTCCCTCCTTCTTTCCAGCCCGCGACGGTTTCATCATTTTTTTGGGTCATGGATGTCGGATCTAGTCCTCAGAGTTAGAAAGTCAAGTACCCATGTAATTGGCAGTCTATTCGATGCCCCAGCTTCTAATACATTGTGTATGCGCAGTATCACAACGAGGGGAAGGTATGATAAATATTTTTCATTGTTCCGTGTCGTAAAAGAACCTATACAATCGCACAAAAACGAATAGCGTCCAGGAATGGAAGTGAAGGAGTAGCTATGCGCACAAGTACTTATACAAGGATTTCCCCTTTCTTTTTTGGTGCTTTTTTTTTTGCTTTGTTGACTTTGTTAATATTCTTTTTCTCTCTCTCCGTGTTGCTCTCATGCTGTTCTCGAACATAGTTTTACTCTGACCCCAACGCCGCATAGACCCATTGACCCAAACCATAAGATCCAGATAGGCAAGGCAAGAAAATTGTTTGAAAGACAATCGCCGCTTCTAACCAATACAATAAACACGTTCAAGTTTAGCCATCCTCTTTTTGTTCAACCTACGGCTCTTCCGCAATGCTTGCATCTCAGGTTGTCTTACATTCATTCCCATCTCCCTCTCCCTCTCTCATACCATCAAGTCGACCAGAGTCCTACATCCAAAGCCATGCCCAGACAGCAACGCCAAAAAGCATTTCACGCTTCCAACCCTACCAGAACGATCCTTCACTCACCGCGCCCGCGGCCTCAAGCGGTGCCCTCGTGCTTCCATTAACAGCCACAGCGGCCGCCTTCTTGGCTGTCATACGGCCATACACGATCGCCACGGTGTTTTCGGCCGCCTCCAGCGTGGTCTTGTACCACTCGTCCAACCGGGCCTTGTCGATGTAGGTCTTGAGCTTGGCGTCTTCGGCCTTCATGGCGTCCATGAGCTTGTTCCGGTACGAGGCGTCCATGCCGTCGAAGCGGCGGTCTAGACTGTCGGTGTAGACACCGAGGGCATCCGAGGGCTTGATGCAAGGGCGGAAGGCATCGTTTGCATGTTCTGTGACGGGAAGAGTGGGTTAGCACCATATGGGAGATATGTCTTGGGAATGGGAATATTAAACTTACGCTCGTCTACAACAGCAAACAAGGTCCTGTAGAGTGCTGTCTCGCCGAGGACCTCCAGCTGATGTTGGTCATCCTTCAGGTTGGTAACGTTGACTTGCTTCCAGTCATCACGGATGAGGCAGCGACGCCAAATGAGGCGCTCAGCATTGCTCCGCTCCTCACCCTTTAAACCATGCCTAGCGACCTTCAGGGCTAGGTAAAATTGGTCGCCAATGGCTTTGAAGTGCTTTGGGTCAAGGTATACGAGGGTAAGCAAGTCGATGAGGTCAAGTGGCTGAAGGGCCTTGTGCTTGAGCAGGCACTGCATGCCGTCCTCAAAGACACTTTGAAGTGCCTTTTGCTTCTTCTGGCCATTGATCCAGGCGCCGTGAAATTGCATTGCCAGCTCAAACTCGGCTCTTTCGTCGACGGCTTCTTCAATGGTGGGCCGTATCTGGCTGTACAGGCCATTCTGGATCGTGATAATCTCCAAAGCCTGGTCAACCTTCTCAAGCTTGGCCTCCTTGCTATCAGAAAAGCCGTTGCTCATTTCACTGTCTCCGTTACGTTGATCAGCCTCGTCAGCTAGCAAAGCAAGCTTTCCAAGACTGAGCTCAATCTTCTTGCTCCACACATGCTGCTCTTCTAGACCGAGAGTAAGCAGTGTCTCGGCAGCACGATCAATGTCCTTCTCCCTTTCAACATCATTGATCCAAGAGATCTTGGCTAATCCGGGCCTGGACCGGAGGAATTTAGTGGCGTAGCCCTCATTGTCGTAGGGGAACTCGAGGACTGCTTGCACGCCACTAGCGTCAAGGAGAGCCTCGTACGCCGGGAAGGCGAACCTCTCCTGATACTGGTTGAAAAAACCGCCCATCTGCCTCTTCCGGTCTTCAGCCTTGGCACGACACTCCTCGGCTTTGGTCGCAGAAGTGCCGGGGGACAGAGCACTCTCCTCTAGAGTGAGAATGTGCTGCACCATGACATCTGCCAGGGCGGCATATGCCTCATGCTCCTGCGCCAAAGCAATCGCTTCATCCCAAAGATCGTAGTCCTTAAGTCGTAAGATCTTCTCATAAACATTTTCGACGTATTCCTGAAGACACCTCTTGCCGGATTCTCGCGTGTCTGAATCGCTAGACTTCTCAGCCCACGAAATATACTCGTCAAGAGCGGTGAAGTATCGGCTGGTGAGAGCAGGAAGCATGTCCCGAATGCTTTTGAGAATTTTCACATCCACAGAAGCCTTTTCCGGAGAAGGGAAGTAGAAGTTATCCAGCCATTCGTAGCAAAACTCAATCAGGCGCTTGAGATTGCTAGCGATGAAACTAGTGGCAGTCCAGGGCTCGGGGATCGCGTTGCCTTCGGCGCCTTTCCTAGGATTGACACCGTACAGGCGTGCATTTTTCAAGCGGTGCTGCTCCGCCTCCTGAAGGGCGCCCTTGTTGACGATGGCGGCTTCCAAGATCAGACGGTTGATGCCGTTTTCGTCGGTGAGGCGTTCAGTATAGGCGTACTTGATAATCTGGTATGCCCAAGCGATAAAAATCTCTAGTCTCCACACATCGTTAATGAACCAGTGGCGAACGGGGTCTACCTCGCCGACAGCCGGATTGGGCTCCGTCTTTTGGTTCTCGTTGATGTAGACCACCGTCTCGGAAATGACGTTTTGTTTATCCCCCTTTGGCCTTTCGGCGATAAACTGCTCATTCTTCCGCCAAAGCCACGTTGCTACGGCCATCTTTTCAGAGTCGTAGAGCAGCACCCACCGTGTACGAGCGTCCAGATCCACCCTCAAGGTGTTGAGGTAGAATATCAACCTTTCAAGATATTCCACCCTGGTCCTCATGTTATTTTCGAGCGAGGCGGGCACGTTGGGGATGAACGGAGTCTTGGAGGCTACAATTTCGTGACTGAGCTCAATGGCGGCATTTCCGATTTCCTGAGCGGTGAAAGGCAGGCTCCTTCCTTGGAACACCAACGGGTTGTCGTTCTTGATACCAAAGAAGACGGCCTGTTCGAGCTTGCTCTTCGCGCTTATGGTTGGTGGCTTTTCAGTCGCGAACCGATCAACCTCGCTAACGGCCACTCTAACCGTGCCAACACCCTGCACCAACAACACAGCAGCAGGGTTTTTTGTCCTGTGTCGCGATCGAAGCTCATCTGGGAAATGGCCATTAGTAGTAGGCTCCTCCGTGCCTGAGCCTACTATTTGCACATTGCCTTCATCTCGTAGGTCTACCACGTCTTCGAATGTGGCGGGTATGATGTGGCTGTCTTCTTGAAGCTGTGACTCGGGGGAATCCGGTGGGGCGACCATGGATGCAATCACAACGGCGCGGTCGAAGACAACAAAAGCTACCATTGCAGGGCGTGGTAGGTAGAGCTTGGGTCTCTCGGGCGCATTGGGTCTCACAGGACTGGTGTAAGAAGTCAAGGGTCGGACTGCACCAACCTTCTTGTTCTGGCCAGAAATGACAACCTCGACCAAGGCATAGTGAGACTGGCTTTTGCTGGAAGAGAAGGAAGTGAGTAGTAGCAGATGCTGGACAGAATCTTCGTCATGAACCAGAGCCTCGCTAAGCCGGCTAGCCTCCACATACTTGTTGTCAAGTCCTCGAGGAACGCAGGTGAAATCGACAATTTCGAATGACTCTTCGGGTAAACCGGCGGATGCTGGGTCGGCCTCCTGTATTTGGTGAATAAGCTCGCTCCTCAAGTCGATATCGGACAAGATATCGTGGTGGCCGCCCCTGTGAACGCGCCAAACATTAAGCTTGCCCTTAGTCGTAGCTCCAACAATGACGCGCTCTCCGACTCTTGTGGCATGGCTGGCGCGGACGGCAACGACATCCCCATGCGCAGAAGTGGAGCCAAGGACCTGGCGGATGCTTCCCAGCAATCCACCTACGGCATTGGTGAGGCTGCTCCGGAGGAATTGTACAGAAATGGCGGGCCGGCCATGCATGTCGCGGACGCTCAAGTAAGCGAGACGGCCAGAGCTGAAAACGAGGACGAAACCGGCGGATTCGGCGTTGACGATCTGAACGACATGCTCTCCAGAAAACATGCCGGGTATTGTGTCCTCCACTCCATGTCGTTGTTGGCGAATAAAGTCAAGGGTGGCGGCGCTCGAGATGGATTCCCAGTATGCGATCTTGCCGCTCATGGGCATGACTACGACAAGGCCAGGTTCGTCGGAGGCAGCCGAGGGCGAGACCAACGAGCCGAGTGGTAGCGGGTCGGTCGGATTCTTGGAGGGATAAGGAAGGCCGAATGTGAAGGTCTCAGGCGAGGCGGCGGTAGAAGCATAGGGCCAGACGAAGGCATGGGTATGGGTAAGGCTCAAGGCGTATCCGCTGGTCGAGTAGACGGCACCGTGCTGACGATCTTCTAACTTGTTAGGCACTCCAGATTCTATTGAAAGTTGCTCCAAAGGTGGAAGGGCGTTTGGGAGGTAGCTGTGCTGGTCGAGCTTACTTTGCGCATCCGCTCGGAGTCGGTCGGGTAAAGCTGGGAGCTTGCTCACGGTATAGGCATTGTTTGTGGTCTGGGATTGTGGTCAGTAGCTAAGCTTCCAGGAGCTGGTTGTGACTCTGGATGAGCTCCCCAATGCGCAAGTAACGGCGAGACAAAGACGGTAAAGGAAGCATCCACATACCAACACTATGCTTCCATCACCCCTTGCAGTCCGTTCGCCGGCCTTTTGCTTCTTTGATCGCACGCTGAGCTCTTTGCGAGGGCCACCGAGGTTTTCAATGCCGTCGCGCTTGATGTCGAGCAAGGCAAGCTTGTCGGACTTGGCTTCGTACATGTCCGTATCCGTCTCTGGGTGGGCTTCGGTATTCGCAACCGTGGTTTCGTGTAGCGGCACCCTTTGTCGCTTTGCCTTGGGGGCCTGGACTGTGGCATCTGTGTTTGACGGACGCGCTCTGCGGCGGCTGCTTCGTGTCCCCTTTGCGGGGCCGCCTTGGTCTTGTTGGGTTGGCTCAAACATGTTGACGTCGGTGCTGGTACGTGGCCGTGAGTGGCAGTGGTGATGGTGGTGGTTGTTGTTGTTGTTGCTAATGTTGTGGTGTTGGTGGTGGTAGTGGTAGAAGAATGGGGACGGCTAGCTAGAAATCGCCAAAGCGAAGAATAGTAGCAATGGAGAGATGCTGGAAGAGTCGATGGGTTCGATCGGTGACCGTGGACGGGTGACGTGAACAATAACGCGCCGCGCGCGCGCTCCCTTCGATTCGAATCTCGGTTAAACGATAACGACCATGGCAAGGCGCGGTGCACCTAGATACCACAAAGGGAGGTGACGAATATTTGGAATGTCGGATTTGTGACGGAATCACGGCGGCGACGAGAAGGTATGATGATGAAGATGATGGATGCGCCGTTATCGATTAGGAATACCCAAGTCGTTGGAATAGAAAAGGTCGCAATTGGGCAGAGGCTGTGAGTATGTCGCTACTGTCTAGACGTAGATGTCAAGTGAATGAGGAAAGGCGGGCAACATGGAAGACAAGACAAGACAAGACTAGAGAGAGAAAGCTATGCATTCGTTCCCTTCTTCACAAGTCTTCAATCATTGGATCCTTGTTGACTTTTTTGGGGCAACAAAAAATCACAGGTGCTTGTGCTGGCCCATCGTGGTCACTGAGTGGTCAGTCTTGGCGTGTTGCTTTGCTTTGTTGGTCAGTGCTTCACACGGCAGCCGTGGAGATCTCCACACACGACCATACCTCTACCTTTTACTTTCCTTCCCTTTGTCCTTCCTGGTCAGACCAGCTCCTGTCAAAACTGCAGTGCCTTTAACAAACCCTAACACTAACATGCGTTTGGTGACCTGGTTCGACCAGGTTCGTGGACATGTCTCTCGTATTTTAGCCTTTTGTGAGGTCGGTTTCCTTAACATTTACTTGTCGCTTCACCGTGAACTCTCCATCTTCGAGTCATCAGACAATTGAGTGGTAGCTCTAGGTATAAGTGAACACCCATAGAGAGCTCTCGAGAAGCTGGACAGAGTTGATATCTGTTAATGACATTGGCACTGTTTGAGTGACATCATTGGGGCTGTTAAGCTGTGTCCCCTATATCCACTGTTAACCTTAACAGGCACTCGGACATCTGGATCTTCGGCTTCTCTGCATCGGATCTCGACTTCATACAGATCATCTACTAGTGTACATACACTCACTACCAGCACTCGGGAGTAGGGAGCATCTCAAAGCATTGATGCCTTCCTCATAGTCCTGACTCTGTCTACCAACCTGACCACCATGAGTCGCCGCATAGCGACCTCGGTCACCATCACTGACCCACTGGTCAAGTACAATGCCCTCATCGCCAGCAATGTCTGTAGTCCCGACATCGCCCAACACCGTCTGGCCCATCACCTGCAAAAGCTCTATCTGCGATTGAAGGACTACACTCCTTCTCAAGAGTACCAGTCAAGACTCCAGCAGATCACAAAGGCCTTGGACGCGGCAAGCAAGGAGAATGTTGAGGCCGAAGAGGCCCAGCTGGCCGTCCGCGGCCATCCCATTAGGGGGAACCCTCTCTTTGCCAAGTTCTTTCGCAAATCAGACGACAGAGACACTTTGGCATTGACAAGAGTTCTTACAAGCCATGAGGCTGCTCTGCACATTGACTCTCCCAAGGGCCTTTTCCTGTCCGGCGAAGTCGGCACCGGCAAGTCCATGCTGCTGGATCTCCTAGCTGAGGGCTTACCCACTCACCGAAAGAAAAGATGGCACTTCAACACCTTTATGCTGTACGCCCTCTCCAGACTGGAGCAGTTCCGCAAGTCGCATTCGCAGTTGGCTATGGGTGACCAGGAGTATTCTCTCCTGTGGTTGGCAAAAGAGATGGTGGAGAAGTCTCCCATTCTTTTCCTCGACGAGTTCCAGCTTCCCGACAGGGCAGCGAGCAAAATCATGAACAACTTGTTTATCGCCTTCTTCCAGCTGGGAGGTGTCCTCATTGCGTCTTCCAACCGGATGCCCGAGGAGTTGGAAAGGGCTACAGGCGGGTATTACCACCCGCCCACAACCGGTGGTTTAATCAAGCAGGTCTTTGGCTTTGGAAAGCGCCAGGGGGAAATGTTTGGCCAGACCAGTGACTTTGCTGCGTTCTTGGAGGTTCTCAAAGCACGATGCGACTTTTGGCACATGGAAGGTACCCGAGACTGGAGGAGACGGGAGAGCCAGACTGGCGAAACAGGTACAGGCGCGGTGAACAAGGTGACGGATTCAGGGGCGACAGCCTCCTTTCAACCCGCCTTTGGGCCATCATCATCATCCACAGAGCCATCAACAACAACTACTTCAGAGGCGACCATGATCGAGCAGGGTCTTCAAAAACCATCCATGTACTTCCTCCCCTCTGACTCCGAAGAAAGCTGGACAGCCGCCATCAACCAAGTCATCGGCTCAAATGCCACCGGCCAACAGTGGTCCCCAACCAACCTCATTGTCTACGGCCGTAAGGTGCACGTCCCGCGCTACCACAACGATGTTACCTACTGGGACTTTTCCGAGCTGGTCTCCTCTCACGGCCCAGCCGACTACCTCACCATGGCCTCGACTTTCCACACCTTCATCATCGACAAGATCCCCGTGCTCTCTCTGGCCATGAAGAACGAAGCCCGCCGCTTCATCACCCTCCTCGACGCCTTGTACGAATCCAAGTGCAAGCTCCTCATCCGCGCCGAGGTCGGGCCTGATGATCTCTTCTTTCCCGAGATGCGTCCAACCAAACTAGTCACCACATCAACAACAACAAGCACGGGCAATGGTAACGAGCAGGTAGCAGCAGTAGTAGAAGGCGACGCAACCTACTCCGAAACCATTGCTGAAGTCTTCCAAGACTCGATCGCACCTTTTCGTCCAAACATTTCCGAGTATGACCCGGACCAGGATTCGGATTTCGGCAAGGAGCAGCAAGTGTCACTGACGCGCGAGGTGGACTTCAACCAGACCGTTTCGGCGTTCACGGGCCAGGACGAGCGGTTTGCGTACAAAAGAGCGACGAGCCGGTTGTGGGAGCTGTGCAGCAGGCAGTGGCATGCTAGGACCGATGAGGGTTGGTGGCAGCCGCTGCCCAAGGAGGCGAGGCATTGGGAGGGGAAGGAGGTTAGCAAGCCGTTGGAATCACCGTTGGTGAGGTTGAATGCGGGGCCGAAGGAGAAAACGGAGATTGTGATGGGGGAGTCGACGGTACTGGAGGAACCGGTGGGGTTGGAGAGGTTTAGGGTTAGGGAGATGAAGGAGGGAAAGAGGTGATGGGGGTGACGGTTGGATGTTGGGTTTCATGTAGATATTCTGAAGATGAATACATGTACTCTTACGAGTGGTCCATGCAGACCTTTTAAGCTATTATATGATATACTTTCACGGATACCACGATACTTCAGGATCAAGATTGATTTAAGGGTTCACAAGCCATCACCAGCGTCGTGTTATGCATAAATGGAAGCTCTTCAACGGCTCGAAGCTAATTGGCGACCACATCGAATGGGGAAGCAATTTGTTTCTTCTTGGTTTCCCGAACACATTACTACATAAACCCCTAGACCCAGCTAGAACTAGACCTAGACAGCCGTCAAAGCAGCAGCGAGCTGCTCTCCCCTCTCACCACCCAGATACACATCATCGGGCCCATCCGCGCTCACCAACGCCAGCTCCACGGCCTCATTATACCCCTTTGTAACCATATCCTCATCCACCCTCAAGCCATTCTCCACCAGCGCCGTCACCACGCCCCTGATCCTCGCAATTTCCCTCATTGTCTCGGGCTCGATTCTGTCATTCTGGCTCGAGTACATGGTAGCACTAACCACCTCTTCGAGGTTCGTAATGCCCGTCTGACCCTTCGCCTCCTCGGGAACCACAGGCTCCACATGCTTTGAGATCCAGACATAGCCATTGACGCCCAAAATCACATCAATCGGACCGCCATTATTCGCACTCTCCAGCGTCCACACCTGTCTGCGCGACCTGACCACGCCTCCACCACCGCCCGTGCCAGAAACAGCCATGAACACCCCGTTCCTCAGCTTGCCGTACTTGAGCGAGCGCGTGTGCAACACCGCACCACCGTCTTGGAAGAGCTGCTGCACCTCGGCCACCACCAGGTCCCCCTCGGCAAAGAAAGTGCGGATCTGCAACTCGTCCGTCTCCGTTCTTTTGCGGAGAATACCGCCGGGAAGGTTGATGGCGGAAAGAGGCAAAGCAGCGAGCTGCGTGGACCCGACGTCGACCCGCCACCGTTTTGCCTGAACTTCGACGATGCGGCCGACTACCAGGTCGCCGACCTCGGGCGTGTAGCGGGCGCGCAGAGGGCGGACGGAAAGAAGCTTGTTGGTGCGCGTCACGATTCCGGCCAGCGAGGAGGTGATGGCTTGTTCGCCCAAAGAGGCCGAGGAGAGGTAGGTGCCGTGGCCGCGCATCCATTGGGGGTCCGTGGTGATGCGCTCGCCGGGAGTGACGATGGCGGAGCGCGGGATGGAGTTGATGGCAGCGTTGGTCTTGGGACGCTTGGTGAAGGTGGAGGAGGCGGCTGCGCCGGCGCCGGAGTGATGACGCTTACGAGGGTGGATGGTCGCGCCGCCGTCGAGAGAGACGCCGCCCGGTTGGGAGTCGGAGTCTTCAGAGTCGGAGGTGGCGTCGGACATTACGTCGTCGGAGTCATGGTTAAGGCTGTGGCGGGGTGGTTGGTCCCGGAAGGCTTTAGGTGGGAGGATTGTGATGGGCATGTTGTGTGGTTGTGGTTGGTGTGAAATCGCGATATCAACGTTGAGTGTTTGTTGGTGTGATGAAGGTCCAAATCCTTCCTTCCTGGTTCCGTTGTCGACCTTTTTCGAATCTCAAGTTCTATCTAACTACCCTGGCCTGCAGAAGTTGGTTGTTTGTGTCGATTCGCCTTGTGGCCTCAAAGTATGTTGTATGGGCCTTTCAGTTGCTTCAGTTTGGAGTTGATGAGTTGACGTTCAAATGTTTGCGTATTGAAATTCTGATATCGAAATCGATACGGTATTGACGATTGAACTTTACACAGTTGGTGGGGCCTTGTGCCTGTCGTCGTGCACGGGCACCCAATGGTAGAGGCATATGCAGTGCAGGTACCACACAAGACGTAGGTACTGGAGCAGGTACCTCTACCTTTTCCGCGTCCTTTAGTTTCATCCAGCAACTACACTACCTTAACTACACTAAGTGGACGGGATCTGGGACCTTTTCCTCCTTAAACCTACTTACCTCTACTGCAAAAGCCAAAAGTAGTGTAGCCGTACCAGTGGCAGCCCCGGCGATGTCACACGTCAGGTCCTTCGGTAGGTACACTACATTACTGCAGCAGCAATGACGGGTTCCATCGTTGAATGTGAAATGCCTGCCCCAGTGACAATAAGGTCGGGTGCCATCCAGATTGGATGCGACGGAACTACCCCACCCATCTTCTCCACAAAGCCGAGACCCCGGGACAACGGGCCACCCGGGCGCTGGCTGGCGTGATCCACTCCCGGCCGCGGTTGTCGATTTCCAGGGCGGTTTGTTGAGAGCGAGATTTCCACTGATGACCGACCCGACCGCCCTCGTGAGCCCCTACCGCGATTCAGTGTCCGTACCTGCTTACACAGCACTCTCGAGCTTCCACTTGCAGGATACAGCCGTCCTTACTTACTTGCCCGGGAGTCCCTTACTGTTGCTACCGTTGAAAGCCGATCATCCCGTGTTCTTCCACCAGTTGTTAAACGGCCATTAGTAGTCCCGTCCTGCTCTTTGATTTGCTCGAGTCCCATTGTTTACTTGTTGCGGGTTTACGCCGTCAAACATACCTGACTCGGTTGTTTGAATTCGAGATTCACGTTATCTACCACGACGTCGGATTCCACCAGACTACGACATAGCCGTGTGCTACTCGAATTGGCGCCGATCGGACATCGACTACATATCGGGAACCATAGCGGTGGATCAACCCAAGACTAGGTATCAGTGAAACCAGACCAAGATTCCGAAACCGATTCACTACACTACGCGGTAGATCGGACGGACCGAACGGACGGACGGCCTGGGACGGGCACCAATCGAGGTTTCCAGGTCCATATACACCGATATGCCTTTGCGAGGGCCCCTTCGTCGGCCTGCGCTTGCGCTTCCTCCTTTCACATGCAACAATGTCACCACAAAAATACCCCTCAGGATATCACCATTACCGCGCTCGGTAGCGGTACGGCAGCGTAGAGGACATGCGACACATCTTCCGGTACCAGACACGCGGCCAAAGACGGCCATCTTCTTTCCAGGTTCGTAGTAGTAGTAGTGGGCTATCCTGCTTTGAACGGAGAACGATGCTGACAGCCATGAGATATACAGGCCAAGGCGTCCAAAGAGTCGGCATGCTCACCCCCTGGCTAGAAGCCTTTCCCTCGACAACTTCGGAAATCATCGACGAAATCGACTCGATAGTGGGCCATAAGCTCTCGGACGTGATACAAAATGGGCCCGGCAAGGACCTCAACCTGTCGCCCAACGCACAACCAGCCATCATGGCTACCTCGATAATGATCATCCGCATTCTCGAAAAGCATTTCAACTTTAAAGTGGAAGACAACGCCCACTTTACTCTCGGTCACTCTCTTGGTGAATTCGCTGCGCTTGTCGCAGGCGGCTATATCCATTTCGAAGATAGTTTGCGTATGGTGCAAAAGCGAGCGGAAGCCATGTCCAATGCCACGCGACAGGCCGAGGAGATGTATGGCGGAGAGTACGGCATGGTGGCACTCGTCAGTAGCAAGGCCGAGCACCTGCCACCCTTGATTGCCGCAATCCACGAGTTCGTCGGCTACGACAGCGCCGGCTCGAAAGTGGAGAGCGCCGACGAATGGTGCCCAATCGACCAAGTGCTCATTGCGAACGTCAACAGCAAGACGCAAATCGTGCTCAGCGGAAGCATTGAGCGCATCAAGACACTGGTGGAACACGTGCGGCAGTTCCTGGGACACGACCCACGCGCGGTCAGGCTTAAGAGCGACAGTCCGTTTCACAGTCTCATCATGAAGCCGGCCGTCGGAGTGCTGCAGCAGATGATGGCGGGAAACAGCATGGTCAAGGGGAGGGAAAATGAGGACATTATCACGTTTCCCGGCAAGGTTACGTGCATTAGCAACGTGACGGCCAGGCCGTTTGAAAGTAGGGAGCAGCTCAAGGACCTTTTGGCTCGGCAGGCGGTCGAGACGGTACAGTGGTGGGACAGCATCAAGTATCTGGATCAGTCCATGAAGGTCAGGAGATGGGTCGGTATCGGACCGGGATACGTGGGCCGGAACCTGGTGGGTAAGGAGGTGGGCATGCGCGGGAAGGATGTCATCAAGGGCGCTGGAGTCTGGGCAATCACCGATCCGAAGGAGATTGAGGAGGTGCTCAGAGGGTTGGAAGAGACAGACTTCTATGAGGACGACGAGTGGCAGGATGCATGGGATAGGTGGGACTGAGAAGGTAATCAGTATTGGGCATCTATGGAAAAAGGGCTGTTATTTTGGAAAGAATCTGGGAAATTCATCGTCACCCTTTATCAACAAGCATCGGCGTAGCGTTGGATTGGATTGGATTGGATTGGATACAGGGGAAGTTAAAAAGGAGCGGGAGTGTTTGGCCAGCGGGAGAGGGGCACTGCGCCCGGCGTTGTGGATATGTTTACCGTTTCTTCGGGCAGACACTGGAAGCTGTATATTCCTGTATGGTATCTGTCGTCATAGCCAACGAATCACTCAGGGAAAATAAAAGGTTATCGCATCTACCGGCACTTTACGTGAGTTACGTCCTAAATCATCATGTGTGGTCGAAAGGGGCGTCAACAATGATCATTCACACCCACTGTAGAACACACTAGCCGCTGGAAATAGGGGTCCCACAGGCCACTAAACAATGTAGTACCCAAGCTCACCAAGCTACCTACCCCAGACCCACTTCAACTTGCTGCACCTCCATGGATCGGCTTCCATCCCGCGTCACCACGGCGGCCCGCGTTATGTCGGCATCCAGGTTCAACTGAACAACTTCTAAACAGTCACGACATCACTTCCTGATCTACACACCCACACATCGAAACTCGGAAGCACCACACTACGGCCTTGATGTACTGCGATAATTAGAATCAAACAACCTCGACCAAGACCACCCACCTCCTCAAAGAATGGCGACCCTGATCCCCTCAATAGCCTGTTTAGGCGTAATAGGCCGTAACGTATAAGCTCCCCTCCCTTCCAAACCCTCCTCTCCTCTCCTCTTCTCTTCTCTCCTCTTCTTGTACGGGATTTCCTCCAGCTATGTCCATCATCGCCTTACTAACCTCCCCCTCTTGTCCCACTGAAACAGAACAACCCCCTCCACATCCAAATCTTCCCATCCTACGACCCCTCCACCAACACCTACGTTGCCGCCCGCACCTCCCTCCAATTCCACCTCCTGCTCTCCTCGACCCTGGACGTCTTTGACCTGCGCGCCCGTCGCAACGCCGCCGCAGGAGTGGGCTTGTCTGGTGACTTTGGTCTGTTGCATGCGGTGGACGACCGCTTGGCCGCGTACGGGTTCGAGACGAATACGGGTACCAAATTTGTTGCGGTCGTGGACATGAGGGGCCGGAGGGTTGATGGTAGAGGTGGGGGAGGAGGCGCTGGTGGGCATGGAGGAGGCGGACCACAGGGAGGGTTGACGCAGGGAGGGGCGGCGGCTGCGGCTAGTAGTGTTGGGTTGAGGGAGGGGGAGATGAAAGTTGTGAGTCCTTCCATCGGCTGTTCCCGGATGGGGGGTGGGAGCAAGAAGATATGGTGAAAGAGGCGGAGATCCTGATGGTGTGGGATAAGGAGCAAGAAATGGAGAAAGCAGGACGGACACATATGCTAACACAGGGAACAGGTCTTCAAGGCGATGCAGACGGCATACATCAAGTTGTTGCAGAACCCCTTTTTTGATCCAGACGAGCATTCGCCGCTTTCGGGGACAGGCGGAAAGAAAATCACAAGCAAAAAGTTCGCCGAGGATATGAGGAGGATAGGGGAGAACTGGAGACCGGGCGTGACGGCTCTGTAATTGAGGTACTATGACCGGGGAGTTCTGAAACGGTACCCCTTTGGTTAAGCATTCGGGTCCATGGGCGAGAGCGGTAAGTTGGCGTTTTGGGAGTTTGAAGGGATCGTGTTTACAGGAAAGCGGGTTGTTTTCTCGCCTCGGTGGCATAGAACAGTGAGGGAACCCATGGGTGTAGTGGTGCTCGAGCTGTGAGCATGCAACTACGGCTGAACAGCTAATCAGGCAAGCTTTACGAACGATATCGAAACAGCATACTTAATACAGCTATATCAACAAGAAGATCGTTAGAAAGGAAGCTCTCCAAACCGATGCCCATACCCATATCAAACAAATCAGACATAACGTCCACCAACGCAACCGGGCTCAATCCCACCCATTATTCAGTACGAACTCCTCATACGGTACCCCCAACTCCTCAAACTCACCCTGCTCCGGCCTCGCCATCTTCGCCCACCCTCTCACCAGCTCTCTCCAATAACACGCCTCCGCCGCCGGACTAAAGTACCCGCCACCCACAAACAACTCCCTCTGCCTCCTCGCGATACCCTCAGCAACCTTGGGGTGCTCCTCCAACCAATGTATCGTATCCTCCAAATCCGACCAATCGGGGCTCACGAACACGATATTCGCCTCATTAGGATCGTATCTCTTTGGCCACGCCCTCTCATGTCTCACATGCGGCGTCCAGATCCCATCTTTTGCAGTCTTTCCCGGCTTGGCCCTGGTGTCTTTTGTCTTGCCATTCTTTCTCATCCGCAACGACCGAGCCTTGTCCAAGTCCAGATCGCTTGAGAACAAGGGTTTGACAAGGTGCGTGGTATGCTGCATCCACTGGATCGGCGGCGTGAGCGTTACCGAGGTACACATCTGGAGGAACTGGAACCTTCCCGAGTAGGAAATGCCTTCGGTGTGGATCACGTATTTGTACTTGCAAAAGTCCTCGATGGCTAGCGAGTTGGTGGCATTTTTGCTCTCGCCATTGCCCATCGTCGTCGTCGTCGCCGTCGCCCACTCGAGTGATTGCACGTCCGCCCACGGCTTGCCCTTGGTGGTGGAAACAAGCTTGTATCGCAGCTGCGGGTTGTGGATCGAGTTGAACCAAGTAGTCCCCCGCCAGACCGCGCGGGGGTCTTTGTGTGAGTGCCAGCGGTTTCCTTGGAATTGGGTGATTTCGAGGTTGGTGATGGCTGATGCTGCGCGAGAGATGGACCCGATGAAGGGGAGGTCCCATGCCCAGAAGGAGAAGTGAGGAATGAGAAAAGTGCGAGCATCGGGATCCGAAGGGGCGTGGGCGGGGTCAGCGTTGCGGGTGTATTGGAGGGCGGTGCCGAAGGGGGTGTCGAGGATGTTGATGGTCAGGATTGTGTCGAGGTCCGAGATAAGGGACCGATCGGAAGGGGGCAAGGTGAGCAGGGCGCGGTGAACTTGATGGAGGGCTGCTGTTCTTGACTTTTGTTTTTTATGTTCGTGTCAGCCAGCCAGTCAGCCAGTCATTTAACACCAAACAAAACGAGAAAAGTAGAAAAACATACATTTACCATCTCCCTACTCAAATCCCTCTTCCGTTGCGCATGCAACACATACATCTTCCCATCCCTTATCCGCACCTGCATCGGCCCCAAATCACTGCTCCTCTTGACCTTGAACGGCCCTTTCGCTACCGTATCATCAATCTCCTTCATCAGTCCCGGAAACGTAGTCCGACAAGTCTCAGCATCCAGAGACAAGTTGTTCGATATCTCATCAGTCAGCGTTCGCATGCTTCCTTCCCGAGGCGAGGGGGACCTGGCGCGAGATAATGCAATGACTTCGTAGTCTACTTCTCCTTCTTCTCCATTCAAAGCATCAAAGTTGCCGCCTTCTGTGCTGCTACTCGAGACGGAAGAAGAAAAAAGTAGTGACGAGAATAATGATGGAAAAGAAACGACGACAGAGGAGGAGCCATGACGGAAGAAGTAGTGACCCAGTGACCAGAGCGTCAAGCAGGAAAAGAAGACGACAGAGGCGAGTTTGAAAAGACGTCGACGTTGGCGGTATTTAAGATTGGTGATGTTTATGTTTCGCATATCTCGAAGGTTTTCTCGAAGGTTTAGGGATTTGGTTGAGAGGAGGGAAGAGGGTATGATGGGTATGGAGAAGCGAGAATGGTGTGGGTGGTGGCTGTAGGCATGGCTTTCGTTAGGGCTTGATATAGGACTTTGTTGGTCTTCATTATTTGGGCTGTGGCTTTGGCTTAGAGGGCTGTGTTTGTAAGCTTGGGAGGAGGAGTGAGAGGGAGGAGTATATTGGCTGGCCATTCGGCTGGTGGCGTTGCTTCTGGGCCTTGGTATAGAAGGAGGAGCAGCACGGCGTGAGGTGGACATTGAGGTTTCTTGAGCTCACGATTTAATGGTGAGGTACCAGAGAGTTTTGTTATGGAGAGATGTGGAACGAGGAGGTAAGATGAAGCTAGAGTAAAAAGGTTTGACGGAGGGTTGGTCGAGGATTGTTTTTTCTGTTCTTCTTCGAGAGTATATATGAAGCATCTGATGATGATGTTGTTTTTGACAATTAAGTACATGTGGTCTTCCGCTTTCGGTAATGCATGGAGGGGTCCCATGCTGTTGACGGGTGAAAGCCCGGAGAATGAATGTCCGGCTTACTCTTCGGGGAATGTTCCGCGGTTGTATATGTATGCCGATAATCTTGATGAACAACTGACCACTTTCCTCCCGGTTAAACATAAACCATGAGTTGATCTATCGAAAAACGATCTTGAAGCTGAGGTGTAAACAAAGTTGAAGCGTGCTCACGTAGCTCACAGTTGTCGGAGTTGTTATGTATAATTCTAACACCAGCTCTATCTAGCTTTGCTACTCTGTTAATTCGACAATGTTCATGCGGCATCCCACTGCTGTACGCATTTAGGAGCGAGGCTCGGTTACGGTCACGTCGCAGCGGTGCGAACGGGAGCATAATTGTTTCACGGCGTGTCTTGGGACTAGGAAGAATAGCTTAAAGTGATTGGGTTTAGCCAGAAATAGCAAGTTGAAAGCTGCTCTAATTTGGAAAAATGATAATTATGGGTTCATGACGTAGATCGTCAAGACATAAACTGGTCGCGTAAGAAAAACTGGGTATATAAGCCGCTCTTCCTAAATGTGCGAGCCCAAGGAGTGATACACCGTATGTATCAACTCTCTGAATGTATCCAAATCGTGCCATTACTTCTTCGACATTACCTTCTTCCACCCATTATCAACGCCTCCTGATTATATGGTAATTTTCGTACTTAAATCGACAATGTCACTGTTGTTGTTGAACTCCCGACCGGAACAGGAAATTAAGAAGTCGTCGCCTCGTTAACTAACCATAAAGCAAATTAGATACATAAACCATAAGAGATCATCATCATAACGCTTGAAAACAGATGGAGTGAGTTGCCGCGGTAATGTGCAAGTGACAAACACACAAACAACTCAAGCCCTCCTCGCCTTCATATAAGCAGATAGATAATAGCCAGCGACCACGACCAGCCATCTCATCAACGCACCTTTAACACCGCCCTTGGTACCCAAGCCCAAGAAGTACCACGTCCAGTATTCGGGCCCCTTAGCGACGGTCCCCTGGCGGTCAAAGTTGGGCTTCTTGTTGGTCCAGCGCTGCAGGAGCCTGAGCTCGCTCCAGTCGTACGGCATGTAGCGCACGCGCAGGAACCGGTCCATCCAGGTTGGGGTTTCGGACACGGTGCGGAAGTGCGTAAAGTTGTCGAAGCTGGCTTTGCCGCGATAAGCGCCCCAGCCGGAGTCGCCGACGCCACCGAAGGGAACCGTGTGCACAGCGCCGTGGAAGTAGGAGTCGTTGATGCAGGCGCCGCCAGAGGTCATTTCGTCGAGGACTGTGAGCGGTTGAGGTAGCTTGTTAGTATAACCGACTTTATTGACATGAAAGGGGGAGGGGAAAAAACATACTCCTGTTAGTCTCCGACTTGTCACCAAACGCCATCAGCGCCAACGGCGTCCGGTGCACGTTATTGGCAATGCTGAGCGCTTGGTCGAGGGTGTCCACAGGGTAAATGCTAAAGATGGGACCGAAGCTCTCTTCCTGCATCATCGGATCATCGAGACTATCCACCAACACCGCCGTCGGCTCGATGTACAGCTCGCTCTCGTCCATCTCGCCGCCCATGACAATCTTGCCCTTGGTCTCGTCCAACATCTTCTTGATTCTGTTGAAGTGCCTCGCGTTGACAATGCGCGACAGATCCGGGCTGGCCTTTGCTCCGTTGGGGAACATGTCCTTGTACGCAATCTTGAGGAACTCGATGAAAGTGTCGGCCACATCCTTGTCAACGAGCACGTAGTTATGGCTCATGCACACCTGTCCGGCGTTCAGGACCTTGCCCCACATCAGGCGGCGGGCCGCGAGCGCCAGGTTGGCCTTCTTGGTCACAAAGGCCGGGTTCCTGCCGCCCAGCTCGAGGCACACGGGCGTCAGCGTCTCGGCGGCCTTGCGGGCAATGATGGAGCCGACCTGGGCACTGCCGGTGAACATGATCTTGTCCCACTTCTCCTCCATGAGCGCGTTGGTCTCGGGGACACCGCCGTTGACGACGGCGAAGGCGTCGCGGTCCAGCCGGCTCTCGATCATTTCCTTCATGGCCATGGCGCACGCGGGGGTCAGCTCGGAGGGCTTGATGACGGCCGTGCAGCCGGCGCCAATGGCGCCCACGAGCGGGGCCAGCACCAGCTGGATGGGGAAGTTGTAAGGGCCGATGATGAGGACGGTTCCCAAAGGCTCCTTTTTGACGCGGAAGTTCATCATCGAGTAGGTGACGGGCAGATCCTTGAGCTTCTCCGTCTTGGCAAAGGTCTCGAGGTTGTTGATCATGTGCAGGCAGTCGTTCTTGACCCAGTCGACCTCGGTGAAGTCCGACTCATATCCGCCCTTGCGCAGGTCCTGCTGCAGCGCGGCCATGAGGGAGGCCTTGAAGTCGTCGAGAGCCCAGTAGAGCTTGCGCAGCTGGACGAGACGCCATTGCAGGTTCTTGGTCTTGTGGGAGGCGAAGGTGGCACGGGCGGTGCTGCAGACGGCGGGAATGGCGTCGAGGGGAGTGACCTCGAAGGGGGCGATTTCTACTTTGGATGCGGCCATCTTGACTGTGGTGTTGTGTGTGGTGAGCCGATGATGCTTGGGGTGAGAAGAAGACGAGTTGGGCTGGTTAAGAACAACACCAACAACAGCGTGGACAAGGAAGCAGGGTTGGACCGGGAAGAGGTGAGACGGATAGACGGAGGGACAACGGCGGATTCAACGGTTGTACCCGTAGTGGCGGCGAAGAGTGGGGGATGGATGGGTCGGAAAGCCCCCCCCCTTATCTCTACGGGCACACTATTGACACAACGAAAGACCGGAGGACCGTTAGGACGAAAGGATGAAGTTGATGATGACTAGTAGTTTTGGGTGGGGCCTTTCGTCGATCTTTTGGCCCATGAAATTGTCCATTTTGGGGCCTCCCCACAGCATGAAAAAGGCAGCGACAAAGTCGGTACGCCTTACGGGGTCTTATCGCTGCAACTTTCAGGTAGACCAAGGTAACTGATGAAGGAATTGTTGCTGCTACAACCTCACAATTGGGTTGACCCCTCTCGACGCCATAACGAATCATAATTTGATCGGCCAAAGAGATTTCGATGGGACGCTGGCAATGGAACAGCAACGGCCAAGAACGAGTGGGGGGTTAAGCTTGAAGCTCTCTAAACGGTAACGTGCTCGCGATAACACTAGACCGAAGCTACGAGCTGTGGGGATGTGGCTGTCAACATGACAGGGCCTATCCTCGCTGGCAAGGGGAGGTCGGTCCCCGAAGTGCTCCATCTGAACGGAATTCCGGATTAGTGCGGAAACGTGCCACCGTTTAAGTGGACAGAAGAATCAAATACTCATTTCACAATGTGCCAAAATCTCCATCGACAGACGTCGTCTCTCAGGGAGTAGGAGGGTGTCATGCAGTTTGAAAAACAGTCTGGACACGCTCACAGCAAAACCCAAGAATGTCCGGATTACACACATACTTTTCACACCACGTGGGCTCTTCTCTTCATGCTCTATATCCACCAAGTCCAAGACACTCTGTAGTCGTGCCACTCTTACCTGTCATATCATATATACTCGAGGGTGCGTGGTTAAAAGGTGGACGACCAAGATCTACGCTGTACTGCGGGTGGCTGGATCGACCATGCAGTTCTGAAGGGGTCTGATAGCTTTACTGATAGTACAGTACCTCTCGGGCCAGAGATACTCGCTCAATTATGGGTGCCTTGCTTGAAAGGTAAGTGTACAGCGCTAGCATCTATACGATAGGCTGCTGCAGCCAACTTGCAGTGAGCTACCCCGCAAAGGCGCCCGCCGTTCATGTCAGGGGCCGAGGTGGCTGTCATCATCTCAGCTGGTATTGGTCCCCTATTCTACACGATTCGTAAGATGGGATGAAGAGGGTGGCGGCCTCGTGACCATAAATATCCTAATGACCTCAATGTGTCAAATAGTGTCGTCCAGTATAGTTTGTCAGGGGATGTACAGAGTAGACTGCCGCGAAGCTCAACTGATCATCATCAATCATCGCTCTCATATCCGCCGGCGCTGTCTAATTATATACAAGGTAAGACATAGTATGTATACATTTGCACTCTCACACCATCATGTGCCAAGTCCCCAAGAGTACGTCTAAGCAAGCAAACGACAATGAGTGGTGACAAAAAGTGGTTTCCCCTTTGTCATCGTTCGTGTCAAGTTCAAAACCAAAGACGAGAAGCCTTCTATCTCGCTCAACCAACGCCTTCCGTCCAAAGAGACGCTCAAGTACCCTGCCTCCGATAATACACCATATAAGCCGATGTGTTCCCATTTGCATACATCGCCTCCGTCAAGTCCGGCATTCCGCCATTTCCATTTCCATTCCCATTCAGACCCGGACCACCACTTCCAATCTTCACCCTCTCCACCAAATCATCATTACACTTGAACCAATCCGTCGGGTCCTTGGACTGCTCATCCTGCACGTACGTATAGTAATGCCCGCCATTGATTCCCTGTCCCACATGTACCGTGACGGCGTAGCAATCATACTTCATGCGGCCGGCGTAGTGCGCATCGTCCGTAGTTGCCATGTCCGGATCCGGTTCGGCGCAGTACTTGGTCAGATCGAGGTCACGGATCGGGAACCGTACTTTGGTGTGGATCTTGTTGGAACCACCGCCAGAAAGGATCGAGGAAAACGAATTTCGTGACTGCCCAAAGGACGAGTTGAACCGGTTGAGACAAAAGGCAAGACGGTCAGGTAGTCGAGCAAACTTGGCCCGTCTTGTCCTGCCGGGTTGGTTGCATGTTTCGCACTTGAGATCCGGGAAGTGTTCGGTTGCTTGGTGGCTGGCAAGAAGACGGTCAAGATCCGTGACTCCGTAGCCATGGCCTTCGCCTCCTGTCTCGGCGGCGATGTTGAGGATCCAGACGTCGCAGGGCTGGAACATGCGGATTTCTTGCCGGCATTCGCCGTTCTGGCAGCGGGAGATGAAGACTTCTAGGCCCCGAAAGTATTTGTCAATGATGGAAGCACTGGCGGTTGAATAGTCACGCCAATAATCAATGGCATTCTGGATCACTGTCCCGTTCTTGGGTGTATACGGCTTTTCTTCTTTGGGCGGCTTGCGGTCTCGGTGAACATTGGTTTCGTCATGGATGTTGTCAATGATAAAGGAGTAGAACTCCTGGGCATCTTGCTGCGCCGGCCCGCCAAAGATTTCCGTTTCTGGTTTCTTCCTGCCATCCGCGTTCTTGGAGTGAATAAAGTGTATATAAGCCTATGCAATGTTAGTCTGTGAATCGTCCTCGACGGCCACATAATATCCAAATCATCACGTACCATGAGATGCTTCGCTTCCAACGATCTCAGCGTTCCCTCATCAAGCCAGTGGAATAGACCAGCTAGATACTTGGTGAGTAACTGGGGATTTTCGTTCTTCTCATCCGCTTTCAGTGGGACTTTGTACACATCCTTCCAAACACCCGTGTACAACTCGCGAGCAAATCCAGGCGTGGCGAACATGGCTTGCAGAGAGCTGTTGGCGAAGCAGAATACACCAGGGTTGACAAGACCAGTCCTAAACTTGCGAACTTTCTCAATTCCCGATTTAAGTGACGATCTCGTCGACGTTGCCGTGGTGCTGGTGTCGGTTTCTGCTAGGCCGCTATAACTCCTACGTGGGACGGTCGGAGCCGGGCGAGTTGGAGGAGATGGTAGCGAAGAGTAAAGGTTCTGTTCGTGAACGATATGTCGAGGTAATGGGCTCGCTGGCCGAGCGGCAGCAGGGTTAATAGGTGAAGTCATGGACTCCTGTATCGTTGAAACTGAAGGGTATCTCCGCAAAAAGTCTTCCGTAGTTCTCACCGGAGTAACAATGTCGATGTTTTCTTCCCATTTTTGAACCTCCGCGAGATCTTGTATTGGCCGCGTTACGTTTCTGCGTAGACGACTTGTGAGGTTGTGGGTCAAAGGTGGCCTTGGCTGTGATCTCGCAGCGGCACTCGTGGAAGATGTCTGCAAAGCTCCGGTCCCAACTAGGTCGGTCCACGCCTCTATTCCACCTTTAAGCAACTTCAGTCGCTGTTGTGAACTTGATCCGCCGGCGTAGTCATACGCTGTAAGGGCATTGTAGAAAGTTAGGACCGCTCGTTCCTCTGGTGTCTGGGGACTCGATACAAGGCGTTTGGACCGCTGGTCGTAGAAAACAATCAGGTCAAAATCATGCCGTCTCTCAAAACGCTGCTGTTCGGCTTGCGGTGCTAATACCATGCTCTCTGCTATATCACTAGCGGAAATATCTGGCCGCATCAGCACTTCATTTTCGACACATATTGTTGCCTGTGACATGACATGGCCCTCATCGTACTCGTCACGACTTCTGATGTCAATGACGAGAATCGACACGTCCCTAGCGCCAACTCTCATGTAGCGCTCAAGCTCCTCGGCCGAGATAGTATCACCATCGGGTATAGCGGGCTTTGGTCTCATCTTTGGACTTGTAACAGGTGGTCCAGAAACAAGACTTTCATCGGACGTACGGGGTCTGCCATTCCTATTCATGCCAGTAGCTGATGCCGTTGAGCCCTTTCTGGTAAATATGGCACGAGGAGCGCTAGATGGAAGTTCGGCTGCCTCATTGGACACTGTACCTCGTGGCGGGTTGTAGATAGCAGCTGGTACGCGAGGTAAATCCGCTAGAGCAGTAGCAGGAGGAACACTCGGTACTTGTGACCTCGGGGGGTCACGCGGTGCCGGTGGGTTTATTGGCATTATGGGTTGCGGAATGGGCTGTGTCCGAATTCGAGGATCCTGTATTGTTGTTGCGTTGGCAGGACTCGGGGTACTGGCGGTGTATGCTCGAAGCTTTGCGAAGCGAAGAGCGAGGTCCTGAGCTGCATTGTTGGTAGAAGTTGTCGCCGGACCGCCAGAGTGTTGAAGCGTATGACCGTGGAGAGCCTGAGGTTTGGGGTGTACGGCTGGCTTGGACCTCCCGGGCGACGGCCATGACTGATCTGGCAAAGCATACGTACTTTGTCGGGGCGAGCTATAGACTGAATTGTCGGGACTTGTGGTATTTGACGAGAAGTTGGAATGTGATCTCGTATGTCCGTATCCGACACTGGGCGTTTTCTGTTGATTTGGGCTTCCTAGTAGTGGCTGGACACCCGTTCGGGCATTATCTTGTTTGATCTGCTCTTTGATCTTATCGAAGTCGCTTAACAGGCTCTTGATCTGTCGGAGCAGATGTTGATGTCGCATATATACGTTCGGTCGGCTTCGATCCAGCAGCGCCCAGTCCTTATTCTTCGGGATGATATCCAGAGCTATGATGTTGGCCTTGATGTATGACTTGAAGGCCATGTCAATTCTACCAAAGGACTGGAAGGCTTTGGCTTGCTGGAGTGCTTCTTCGGCGAGCCTGAGAGCACTGTCGATCGGGGTCGCGGGGTCTATGCTGACTGTAACAGCCTTGAGGTCGTCAAGATGCGGCATTGGTGGTCGTTTGCTTCCTCCGGTCCCTGGCCCATGTCCTCCTCCTCCCCCTCCCCCTCCCCCTCCCCCTCCGTTGATTATCCGGTTCTGTCCACCATCTTGTGTGCCGTCCAAACCTCCTGTTATGTGGCCATTCTGCCCGTTGACGGAATGCGCAGGTGTTGCATGGTTGACCATGGTCACAGATCCAGCCATGTGCAGTCCCTGGTATGGATGATGTCTTTCGGCGCACTGGGGGCGCAAATCGCAAAGCCTTGAAGTCGAGTTGCTACGGCGCGTCGTGCTGCTCAAGTATGCGACCGCAAAAGGTGGCGGTTCAGTTCTACAACAACAGTCGAGAGCGTTCGCAGGTGTTATGGACGGTATTTCGCTATGTCGTCAAGCTTTCCTGGCCTCGTCGTTGGCTTGAATCAGGGAAAGAATGGGTGGTTCGTGGAGAGGATGGACAGGATGACGACTGCGGTTCGAAGGCGTACACCATGAGTGGCAGCCTGTGATTCCTAGTATAGTTCTTGGCACACGAATCTTGCAACTGGAGGGAGGGATGGTCAGCGGAGCGAATCGGTGACCGGTTCCCGCGCGTTTCGTTCGGTTGCTCGGTTGAACTGAACTGTTTCCTTGCGTAAATCATTCCATAGTTAATATCGAGGAGGCAGAAGGTGTTCGGCCAAGGAAGGAAGCGTTACGGTCAGTCCGTCTCTGGTGGGTTTCTTGGTGGGGGTTGTTGACTTGGGTTGTTGTCACTGGGAACTTCTTGGGCCTGGACTCCCCGAGTGTTGATGGGGACACAACAGGGGCAAGGGCACCTCAGCCGAGTGCGTCATTGGGAGGGGACGGGTTTGGATATGATGGCTTCTCACAAGGTCCCTTCAGCAGCCATGTTAGTCCTCTAGCGCTATACATTAGGCATAAACCGCTATATTTCAGCTTGAACTCCTCTATCTCTATCTGTCAATTGCCGCTCACTAACATAGTGGCCAGGCCAGGGGAACCCAAGTCGCCTCCCTCCGTGGCAACGACAAGACCCCGCAGCTCCGGGACATGGGGGAGGTACGTACCCCGGCCCTTGGATGCGCTACAGGCACTGGGTCACCTTGGGGGCTTGGGCCGCGGCAGAGCATGGATGGTCGGGGCTCATGCCGCCTGTCATACGTAACCAACGGACAGGCAGAAACGACCTACCTAGCAACAGGCACTCGTTGTCAGTGAGTGGCTGGTAGAGGTAGGTATCCTTCCTGCCATCTCCTACCATACTTGCCGTCTTCCTGCTCCAAGTCAGCATCGTATCTTGGTCGACATCGGTCCGTTGATACTACATCATTGGCCGGAGAAGCTGTTCGGCAACCCAGTATAGTACTGGATGCCTTTTTGGAAACAGAACCGACTTTGAATCATTCGGCTGGTCAACAACGACAACTACCTACTACCCAACCACTCGAAATACCCTCCCGCCTTCACCACGCGACACGGCGATATCATCCCCCTCTCCAGCCTGTCCAGTTTGACGCTAAACACCAAAGCGCATACTCGAGATAGACTGTCCAAAATGATGAGTTGGTGGTCTTCGGGGGCCAACACTGCCCTTGACGAGCAGATAGAAAAGGCCACCAGTAGCAGCTTGTATGTCGTGTCGTCTCGTGGTTCCCTGCTCGCTTTTGGTACGAACCTCTGTCTAACCTGTTCGGTTCCTCATGTAGGGAAGATATCGCACTCAACCTCGAGATCTCCGATGTCATTCGCTCCAAGACCGTCCAGCCCAAGGAGGCCATGCGCTCGCTCAAGAAGCGCATCAACCACAAGAACCCAAACACACAACTGAGCGCCCTCAACGTATGCCCACCGCTACAACCGTACCCCGCGCCTAGGCCGCGTCATGCTAACAGGCACCAGCTTACCGATACATGCGTCAAAAATGGCGGCGCACATTTCCTTGCCGAAATCGCCTCGCGCGAGTTCATGGAGAACCTGGTAGGCCTTCTCAAGGCCGTGGGTCCCGCCGCTCCGAACCCCGACGTCCGAAACAAGATCCTCGACTTGATCCAATCATGGGCTATGGCTGCCGAGGGCCGCTACGAACTGTCATATATTGGGGAGGTCTACAAGACGCTTCAGAGGGAGGGCTATTCTTTCCCACCCAAGCCTACGGTAGCAAGCAGCATGATCGATAGCAGCGCGGTAGGTGTTACTTACAGACGGCTTTGTAACCATGTGTTAGAGCTAACTAGGAACAACCACAGCCTCCCGAATGGGTTGACTCGGACGTGTGTATGAGATGTCGGACCGCCTTCACGTTTACCAACAGAAAGCACCACTGTCGCAACTGCGGCAACTGCTTCGACCAGCAATGCTCGAGTAAATCCCTTCCGCTCCCCCATCTCGGAATTATGCAGGCAGTCCGTGTGGACGATGGCTGCTACGCAAAACTTACCGACAAGGGCGGGAAATCCGGAGGGTCCGACCGAAAGCACCATTCATCAAGCCGCCATCACCACCATCACCACAAACACAAGAGCTCTTCGTCGATGCAGCCGCGTGACGCTCGAGTGGACGATAGCTTTGACGAAGACCTAAAGAGGGCTTTGGCTATGAGTCTGGAGGAAGTAAAGAGTTACTCTCGCGGTCACTCAGAACCAGCGAACAACACACAATACAAACCGGATAAGCAGTCTACTTCGGTTTCCAAGATTGCGGAGGAGGAAGATGAGGATCTCAAGGCTGCCATTGCCGCCTCGCTCGCGGATATGGAGGAGCAGAAGAAGAGACATGCGGCCGCCCTCAAGGAACAGACTTCCAACGTCGGAAGCTCTTCTTCGGCCGCCCCCTTTACGCTTCCAAAGAACGATTACGAGCTCACTCCAGTGGAAGCCGAAAACATCAACCTTTTTGCTACTTTGGTGGATCGTCTCCAAACGCAGCCGCCTGGGACTATCTTGCGCGAACCCCAGATTCAGGAGCTTTATGATTCCATTGGCGCCCTACGACCGAAGCTTGCCCGCACATATGGGGAGACGATGAGTAAACATGGTAAGTTGTGCCTATTTTCTGGATAGGCGGTCCAAGCTAACCTGAAACAGATACCCTTCTTGACCTACATGCGAAACTGTCGACTATCGTCCGTTATTATGACCGAATGCTTGAGGAACGTTTATCCAAGGCATACGGCCAACACAGCATTGGCGGGTATAATCTTCCGGCTCCTCGACAACCTACTGGACCCTATCCCACGTTAGACCCGAGTGCTCCCAGCGCTCCTGGGGCAGCAGAAAACTTTTATACTGGCGAGCAACAAGCAGACTACAGCCACGCACCTTACGGACAATACCCACCGCAACCACCACAGTCACAGTACATGCCATACGATAGACGAAGCTCCATGGTTGGGCCGCCGAATTCTCAGTATCCTCAGCAGCAGATGCCACAACGGACAGGTAGCTGGGGCAATGCTCCTCCAGCTCAGGCACCACAGTACAACTATTCAGGCAACGAGGTGGCCCCTAGCCTACCGGGTCATGCTCAACAGGCGCAGCCAGGTGCACCGGAGTCAGCTTCTGGTGCGCCTAACAACGATCCGAACGCCTCATATTACTACAATCCCGGTCAGCCTCAGCAACAACAGCAGCAGTCAGCGCAGCAAGCCCCGGCGGCAGCTCCTGACCATAGTTATCCCACCCTTCCTCAGCAAGGACATTCTTACCAGCCATCAGTGCCACAAACGCCTGCTTCTGTACCTGTCCAGCCATCGCAAACCCCACAGCAAGCCCACCAACGGGCACCACCGCCTCAGCAGGCTCCGCAACAGCCATATTGGCAGCACTCAGCGGCGCAACAGACTCCTTTACCACCTGTGTGGCAGGCTCCTCAGCAGACTACAACATATCCGGGCTATGATCAGGAAGCGTTCCCTTCGGCGCCACAGCATGCGCCAGCCCCAAAGCAGCCTGTTGTTGAGGAAGCACTTATTGAACTTTGAGTAATTGTCACTTTTGGAGATTGTGTCATAGTAGTAGTGGTGCATTATCTGCATGGGAGGCGATATGATTGAGACAAAGGAAGATGCCATGCGTATCATAAGATAGGTATGCAAATTGAAGCTGTGGCCCTCAATGGGTTTTACAAAGCACGGGTTGATTAATGATTGTACTTTTGCGTGCTCCTCCCAGTTGAATATTACTGCTGATCAGTATAGAGGTTCCGGGTTGATTTGGAGCTGCGGCTTACATCAACTGGACCCGCCTCGGGGTCCTTTACCCCGGGACCCGGGAACCGCAAAGTGTGGAATCCACCGGGACCCATAGCCGGTCTGGCGGCATGCGGAGAACGGACCAAGATCGGATGAGACTTGAGAACCCTGAGGGTTGCCGGCCGACAACGCTGCTTCGTTGTTGGTTGTTTGGTGCGACGGTCACCTCTGATGGGCCGTATCAGAAGCTGCCAAGACTGTGATCCGGGAAGCCGGTTGACGTATTCGTTGTTCCAGATGTTGGGATGTGCGTTTCATGACTTGTCTCCGTAGACAAGAACAACTTGTCTCGATTTCGACTCGCCCTTTATTAGTCATCTTCCTGACTACCTACCTACACTGACTCATAGTCAACAATACTGTCCGACAGCGCCGTATCTTCTTTAAACCTCGTTCCAATAACAAACACCAATCCAATCTACGTACACGTTGTCGCGAGATATCCTCCCATCTCAGCTCAGCTTCTTACAGCAACAACAACAAAAACCCGCACCCACCCTCAAACCTCACCATCAACCAATTGTCCACACACCTAATCATACCGAACCCGTACCCGCAACCACATTCAAAATGTCACCAAAAACCTACATTCACCTCGTCCGTCACGCCCAAGGCCACCACAACGTCAGCCAAGCCAACCACGTCTTCGCCGACCCACTCCTCACGCCCCTCGGCGAATCCCAATGTGCTGCTCTCCGCGACTCCTTCCCCTACCACGATAAAATCACCCACCTCGTCGCCTCGCCCATGCGACGCACGCTCTACACCTGTCTCTTGAGTTTCCAGCCGGCTGTTGAGCGTTTGGCAAAGGGGGGAAAGAAGAAGGAGGTGGTGGTGGCCCTGCCAGAAGTGCAGGAGGTGTCCAACTTGCCCTGCGACGTGGGTTCAGCACCGGAGAAACTGCACCAAGAGTTTGACGAGGCTGGGTTGGTCGATTTGTCCCTGGTCAAGGACGGGTGGCAGGATAAGCATTCACCTGATAGTCCGTGGAAGCCCGAGATGGAGAAGGTGAAGCGCCGGGCGGAAAAGGCGAGGAAGTGGTTGTACGAGTTGGCGCAGCAGCAGCAGGATTCTATTTCTTCTGCTATGGCCGGGGCCGGGGCTGAGTCCCAGGCTGATGGAGGAGAGCAGCAGCAGGAAAAGCACATTGTGGTGGTCACCCATGGTGGCTTCCTCCACTTTTTGACGCAAGACTTTGACGGAATGGATTTGAATAGGGGGACTGGGTGGGACAATACCGAGTGGAGGACTTACGAGTTTGTTACAGATGCTCAAGGAAAGGATGGGGATGTAGGCTTGAAGGAGACGGATGAGAGCTGGAGGAAGAGAAAGGGAAGCGCGAAGCCACTGACGCAGACGGAACAGGAGGAGATAATGGCGGCCGTTGATGAGAGGTTGACGCAGGCATTTGGGGATGGGGTTAGGAGAGTGGGGGGAAAGAGGGTGTAGGGAGAGAGGGTTGATGTTTAGAGCCGGCTGGGTTGTGGTAGGGGGAATCGGGAAAGACAAGTGATATAAGCGTAGACTAGTTCAGAGCTTTGGTATTGGGCTGTAGAAGAATCAACGTTTTTTTTTTTGGACCAAGTTTGAGACATGTCTAGCAACTTATGCAGACCCTGCTAATAACTGATAGACCCTGAATTGCAGTCTCACACAAGAAAAGACCCCTACTTTGAATCGCCTTCCTCATTTCAGAGAATGATCACTTTCATATGTTCCTCTATTCTCATGCCAGACCCATACCATAATATTTGCGTAAATAATCTCATAATCATTCATATATCATCTCCGTACCTTGTCATCCTTCACCGACATCCAGATATCCAAGAGAGCCAGCGAGTAGTCCCGGAACGAAATCGTAAACCATACATACATCCAAGCATAAAAGAAGAAAAAGAAAACCCCAGAAAACGCCATAGTGATGGTGTCAGTCAATTGATAATAATCCAATCCAACCCGACCCGATCCGATCCGATCCACCTTCCAAAGGAGGTCTCCCAATGCGCCCAAAGTATATCCAAAGATATAAGGTGATCAGGTATCATATACTCGTGTGCCATCAATTTCATCCGTTTCTTCCCAAGTGTCGTGTCTCGTGAAACTCAGACACGTGTGATATAGGTGTGTGTGCATAGCCATGTCCAGTCTCAGCTTATGCTTTCTGTGACCCGCGTTCGATCCCGTTCGTTCCCATCAATCGATAGAAGGTATCGAAACGAAGAGACGATTCCTGTTCGTCTGGTTTTCTTCTTCTTCGTCGATCTCCATTCATTCATCCAATGCCGTGAAATGAAACGACCCAAGTTTGCGTGATTTGGTTCAGTTCCCTTCCCATGGATTGGGGGCAAGCTAGAGGTACCTAGTAGCTAGGCAAATACCAATGCATGTGCAAGGTTCGCTGAGAGAGCGGGCGCACACTCAGTTTTTGTGCCCTTCTCTGCCGGAATTTTTGATCATTCCATCACCATCCAGCTAGCTTCTCTTGTCAAATACAGACAAGTTTAGCGCATGCGTCTTTTTTTTTTGTTTTTTTTTTTTTTTGTTTTTGCACTTCACTTAACGCCCCCTCGAATGTGAATGCTCATCGTCATCCGTCAAGCTGGTGCTGCTCCCGCTCGACGAGGTGGTCACGGTGCCGTGGGCCTTGCGCGCCACGCTGACGAGGCGGTAGATGCCAAAGGCGATGGCGGCCAAAACAATAAAAAGGACAATGATGATGATGGCGATGACGTCGTTTCCCTTCATTCTGGGCGATTGGTGTGGTTTAGAGGGTTTACTTTATTCGGATATTGGCGTTATCAGGTTGACTCGCGGTCTAAAAGTGTTGGGAGCTGTTGGTTGTAGTTCGGCTTGGAAGTTGGAATCGTCAGCGTTGGAAATGGTGGTGGTGTTGTTGTTGTTGTCGACAGTGTAAGTGGCTTGAGATGAACGATGGGATAATGAGACGGCTCTTCTATTACATCATGTTAGCTTCCTGGAGTTCTAGCCCTCTCTTCATATCTGTGTGTCTGTGTTGGAAAAGCCATCGAGTGATGGGGGATTATATGGCCCCTTGGGATCGGATTCGCGCAAACTCACCCAAGAAGCATACGTCGCTATGTGTTCGTCTTAAGATAACGAGAATTGGAGATTGTGGTTATAGGGCAGCGTCTGACAGAACAATCCAGATCGCCGAGCTTTATACTTTGAACTTTTTAGGCGTTCTTCGTTCCAGACCGCTTTGGCGCTCAAGAAGCTGTTCTCCGTAACCGATGTTGGCTAATGCAGGTGGTTTGTTGACATGAAACTCCGTGATCTGTGATGGGCGGTATAGCTTTAGTCGTCGTCCTCTGCGGATTCCGAGTCGACCTCTCTCTACCTTTGCCGTTCTCTTTCTCTCTCAACCCAGTTGTCTTTGGAGACCTGTTTGTCGGAATGGAGAAAGTAGAATACAAAGCAATTTCGGAATCGCAGACAACAAGACCAGGAAAAGCGGTATAGCATCACAGTCGCATTTCAGATCCAACGGAGGCAAGCAGGGCAGCGCGTGGTAAGTGGGCGGTGGGCGGGCGAGCATAAAATAGTCAGATCTGCCCAATTCACCCCGCCACCTTCTTTACCATTTGCTTACAAGCATTTCGTAGGTAAAAGACCTGCCCGAAGGCGCATCGTAAGTGGTCTCAGGGCGGAAAAAGAAGAAGGCTGGTAAACATTGGAGCGTCGTACCTTGCGGACCCCGCCAAGTTTGACCTTCATTATAGGGCGCGTCCCCCGGTTGGCGACGTTGAGATGGACAGGGGTGCAGTTGGGCTGGCTGGGCTGGAGCCACTCATCCGTCCGCATTTAGAAACCAGCTGGACATGGAAAGCTACATTACATAAGGTCAGGCACTTGGAGCTGTTACCCCTGTACTGGAACTGATGGGAGGGAGCATCTTCATGTGCAAAGTTCGTGTTGGTTTTCAAGGCAAAAACTGTGTGATGGAACTATCCCCGTGATGTTGAATTACTTGTGAGCTGGTGACTCAAATATGCTAAACAGTACATCTATGACTTCTAGATGTTGAGTTCTGTAGGAGGAAAAGTGTTCTCTGCGCCCCTTGAGAATGTCCTAAGTAGGAGGCACTGCCTCTTCAAACAGAAGCTCAGAAACGGGACAGGTATTTTCCTTGAACGCCGCACCCAAATATTGCTATGCCTCGAATGGATACTCAACTGCACTCCCTCGTTAAATGCAATGATACAGGCCTTTTGGATCCGCCACTCCTTCAATTGAAATTCTGAAGATGGAAAAACACGCCGAGAAGTGCTGTGCCGGATTCGCTCTAATGATAGAGAGCCGCAAGGCTCAGGGACTCTTCTCGAGCCAACTTTCATTTCCAGCATGATATTTCAAACCCCCATCCTCCTGGCACGCGTTAAAACCAAAAGAGAAGGAAAAGACTACAGACCCAAGCCGATTGAAATCTTGCTGAGAAACAAACTTAAACTGAACAATTCACACGTTTCTGAAGAAAGCGTGTCGAGACTCAAGTCACAAATAGAAAGCCCTTCAACGCGCAGCCGAAAGGTACAGGCAAATCAATGCCTTCGCGGCCAGCTGAGCAGTAGACAACTCGAGCCGATCATGGCCAGTTCCGGGGCCCGACCATCAGGGTGACCATCCAGCGACCTCTTCGCGGGTCAGAAGGGTTGATATGCGGCTCCATTTGGGTGACCTTAACCGAAGAAGGATGAACGTAGCGGTGTCATTTCTGTGCATGGCGGTCGCTTCTGCGCCGAGCAGGAGGGAGTTCTGACGCGAGTTGTTCGAGAAGTGCTACCTCGGTCTTCTATTGCGAGACGCTGCCCTCGCGATCCTCGGAGTCGGGGTCCCTCTTGATGATCCTCACGTGTCGCTCATAAAATTGAAGCATCTAGTAAACAATATCAGCCAGGACTCCAAGACATACACAGGAATAGGCAGAACATACCTTTTGGGGGCACCTCTTGTAGATGACGTCAGTTGTGTGCTGGGTCTTGTGGCCATTTTTCCACGTCAGATAAACCATGAGCTTGTGTGTGTCCTCATCTTCGCAGGCATCGAGTTGAGCAATATGCTCTTCCCAGCTTCCCGCTGGGGGCTTCCAGGCAGCGTTCTTGGCGGTCTGGGGCTCCTCAGAGTTGAGGGGGTGGTCGCCGTTCTTCCTCGACCGTTTGTTGCTGCTTGCTTGGGGAGTGCCAGAGTTTGAAGAAGGCCGGCCACGCTTCTTGGTCTTCTGCGCCGCAGCGGAAGCTTCGAAAATCTTCTCTCGACCGCCAATCTTGGTAAAGTACTCCTTGAGCCTCTCTGACGCGCCCTCTCTGTGATGAGCAATGCGATATTAGCAAAACAGAACGAGTCAAGATTCAAAGAATTCGCGATCCCTACATCAAAGTGTCCTCGGGCTCCCAGGTCTGGTCGGACTTTTTCTCGTAACCCTCCCACTTCACGAGGAAGAGTGGTTCGTTCTGCAGTTGCGCGTTAGTACCGCGTGCTGGATGACTTTGGATGCGGCAGTGTAGCGTACATCGTCGTTAAGCATATGGTCGAGGATTTTCTCGACGACGTAGACGTCCTCTTCCTCCTCGTCACCTTCCTCGTCATCCTCACCGCCCTCATCGGCGCCGTCTCCGTTTTGTTCCTCGTCCTCAAAGTCCTCGGGCTCTGGAATTGTGTACTTGACGGACTTTTTGTCGCGAGACTGTTTCTTGCTGCTCGAGGTAGCCGAGCGAGTGTCGAGCTCGACATCGGAGGCGGCCTCCTCGTCGCTGAGAGCCGATGGATCGTAGGGCATTTTTATGAGCTGGTGTGAAGATTGCGGTTGAAGTGGTGCGACGAAGTGTTGCGCTGTAGTCGGAACGGGGGGCGTTGCAGTCAACCACGATGCGTGACAGGGCGCGCGACGCGAATTCGTTCTCGGTGGTTGACGGTATATCGATGCGCCGGTAGTCTCGTTATCGACTCACAAGAGGTACGACTGTGAACGCGAGACTTATAAGTAGTAAGATGAGGCTGAGCTGAGAACTGTAGAGATAGAATCCGTATGGACGACGGTGGAGGTAGGTAGTTCCCGGTCGATGCTGTGCACTATCTAGTAGGTGGTTCGCGAACGGGGAAGATCCGACCGGTCCAGATTCAGTGCGCTACGTACTGGAATTCAGTTCCAGGCCTGCATTAAAAGTGATAGAGCTGGCTGCAGCAAGTGCTTGTTCGTTCCATTGCCCGCCGCGCCGACGCGAAGAAGTGGGGAGTGGCAGTGAGGCTGGGTCCCAGCGAAGTGTGGCTCGGCTCGTGTGTTGCACGTGACCTCGCGTGAGAGAAGTTGGATAGACTCACCAGATCATTTGCCGACCTGATAGTAGTAACCTATGCAGAGTAATGTGATCCGATACATACATGATCATGTTCTGAACGAGAGAGAGAAAGATGATGAAGGACGAACAAAACCTCAGCTGAAAGAAAATTCTCAAAGTCGGTCAATTGAAATCATCTTGGGAATTCAGTTCCGTTTGCTCAGCGAAGTGGAAAGAAAGTGCCGTGCACATCATATGGCTTACAATCAGACAACGCCCCTTTGGTGACGTCAAACGAACAAGCGGAATTATTGACGGTCATTTTCTGTGCAGCGGCTCTTTCCAAACCGGCATCCAGCTATAGTACAATTCGGATAGGGTAGAGGCGACGGAAGCTCTACTACTACTTTGCAAGCTGGGTAACCTCATCGAACATCAGGGCTCTCGGATAAAGTATTGTTTTGAGGACTCTCAACACACAGTACTTATCCTTGCAATCAAAACCAGACATCCGTCGCATGGCGCACCAAAAACAAAGCAATCACAACATCAGATTAACTCTCAGAAGCTGCAATGTTATGTTTTCTCTTTCTCCGCCGAGCAGATGGTAGAATGCACTACATGACAAAAGGCACAACCAGCTGCATGTGATGGAACACAACTCACATAGGACCCTTTCGTTGTGCCTAATGGAACCAGTCATTGTCAAGCTATGTGTGGTGCTAAATATAAAGAGTCGGGTTCACACTTTTACAATTGATTGTATCGCAGATGGACGAGAGAGTTGACAGCATCTCCACACAGAACCTTGCGTACAAGTAGACACAGCAATAGGAAAGGGGCCCATCAGATATCTTGTCCACTATACATAGTTTGGATATTACAGCGCGGCTCGGATGGCTCATGCTCGACTGAGCGAGGAGATGGGACAAAGCCGTGATCGATGGCGTAAACAAACCAGAGTACTGGAACTATACATCAATTTTCCGACCTCTAGACAACTAGTATGAGATGGCAGCTGTGTCCATGGATCTTGGTGTCTTAGTCGAAACAAGTGCAAATTTGGCGATGCATCTTTTACGCATATGCAATTTCTCACATGCAGATACCATCCCGCCCCGGTCCTGGATCAGAAAGGTACGATCCTATTCCTGAGGTTTCCGAAGAAGTTGAGACTACAAGTATATCCCATGAAATAGAAGAGTATGTGTCGATCTGAGTGAGCGAGCACTAGCATGGTCTTTATACTGAAAAGATAACTACCTCTACACTATGTACTCAGGGCACCTACTTGATCATTGGATAGTCAATTAAGCTTGAAATGGGAAAAGGTGTAAAGTAATGCCAAGCCGAGACATGAGCTGCGTACAGAAAATGTTACCGCTACCCCCTGTTGATGCATAGTTCATGAGTCCTTGTCGGCTTATAGTGTACGGTACCCCCTATACTGTGCGGAAAGACTAGAAAAGAATGAAACGGAAAGGGTTCACGGCGGGTCTGGGGTCCTGGGCCGCTCGTGAATTGGACGCGATATCTCGAACTTGTCAAGTTTTCCATTTCCGTGTTCAAAGTCAGTTGGGACCCATTGTCTGGAAATACTCACATCACCTTGCAACTTTGACATACTCACCCAGCTAGGTCTGAGTCTCTTAACGCAGCAACAGTATCTGATGAGACCTCAGCGAGGCAGTTCCCGTCCTCAACCCTCGACAAGACAACCACTTGGGTCTTCATCTCAACTTCCCCAGCCGTTGTTACGTTGCGCGTACTTGTATGCCGAACGTTCATCTCATATCGACCCGACGAATCACTAACTACATACCGCGCATCTATCCGGTGATTCCAATTGAGGAGCTTTGCCCTTCGCTCCGAGACAGCGAAATACAATTTTCACAAGAGCGCCGTTAACTGTTTCCGAACCCGAGTGGTAAGGTCCGGGGATCCACATCCGATAGACCGGATTTCTCAAGCAACAAAGCGCTCCTCTCCACCAATACTGCGCAGTCCCAATTGCGCGTCGCGGGACAGCCCCATTGTTACCGTAGTTGAAGCTCTTTCATTTCGAGTCTGGGACCCGAGATTTCGGGGCTCGGTATCTCAGTTAGCGTTCCGGAAGAAACTCCGCATCTCTGGAACCGGCACCGGCACCGGCACCGGCACCGGCACCAGCCCGGGATTGCCTCACGGACACAATGGCCGGGACAGAAACACCAGCTCTCTCGGTTGAGTCAAACCCAAACACGCCAAAGCACGTCAAGGACAAAAAGTGCCCTTGGTGCGGCCAACCATTCACTTCATCCTCCCTTGGCCGCCATCTCGACCTCTACATCAGACCTAATAATCCCAAAAAGCCTGACGGCATTCACGATGTCACGGCTATTAGACGTCTTCGCGGCACGATAACTAGGAGGAGAACCAAGGGTACCTGTAGACGACGAGATGCCTCAGCATCTGCTGCCGGCAGTGCAACACCATCGGGAGCACCCTCTAAGGATGGCATCAGTCCTGCACCCTCCGATGTCGTCCAATCTCCGGCTCCGACCCCTATGCTCGCTGGAACTCCCGCTGCCACCCACAGCAAACGGAGAAGTGTGAGCACGCCGTTTGGGAGGAATTTCCCCTTCAACACCCCTTGGGAGGCCACCGGGGTTATTGACTTATCCCAAAGAAGCAACGGCGTTCCTTCACATCTTGAAGAGAGGCAGGCTCTCCCAGATGGCTCGAGGTCGCTGGCCCCTGTACCGCCACCACCGCCACCTCATACGTCTTCTTCTGGCCAACAGCCTCTGCATCACCAACCTGATCCGAGGCAACTGATTCAGGATGCCCAGGATACAGCGAGAGCTGCCGAGCTTGCCCTGCGTGAGATGATCTGCTCCTGGAGGGCTGCTAAGTAAGTTGTCAGTTATACACAGTAGTCCGATGTGAGTTGCTAACTCCAATTTCGAAGGCTACATGTCGATCTGCATACGATGCCCTTTGACTTTGACCCTCTGGCTCTGGATTTCCCTGCACTCGTCCTCCAATGCCTCGAACCACCACCCACCATATTCTCCTCCACTTTCTACCCAACCTCCACCTCCTGGTCCCTCCAGCCGCCCGGCTGGGATCAGTTCAAAGCCCTCCAGAACCACTTCCAAGAACAGTTCAATAAATGGCACATCAACTGCAGAGCCGCCACCACCGCCGTCAATGAGGACCTCAGCTACCCGCCGCCCGTCAACTTCGTCAATGTCGACATCAAGGAAGCCATCCGGCGCTCCGAAACCATCAACAAGACCCTTGAAAAGGCCGTCTCAGAGCACCTGAAGAAGACCTTTGGCGTCTGGGAAGCCTCGAGCCAGTTCGACCGCGAGAAGATGTGGCAGCTCGAGTTGGCGCGCAGCGTGGCCCGCAAGCAAAAGGATGTCAACACCCTGAAGGAGGAACAGCACCGCGTCCGGCAGGAAAACAACAACCTCAAGCTGCAGATCGAACATCTTAACGTGCTGCAGCAGCCGCGCGAGTACAAGCTGCAAACCCCCGCCACACTCCCCATCGAGAAGAAGCTGATCGACTACATGTCCGAGCTGATAGTCGTTCATAAAATATCTGGCGTCGGGCTGGAACATGGTCATCGTCATCATGACCTCAACACCGTTTGCAAGGAGGCAATTGACCGCTGGAAAAAGGTGGTGCAATCTGGACGGCAAGGCCCACCGCCACCGGCACCGGCGCCGGCCCAGGCACCGCAGCAGCAACAACACCAGCCTGTCTCTGAACCTCAATTTCCTCAATCTACGTCTGTGCCTGGTGGCGGCCCCTCTTCGCGCAATCCGCTAATGTTGTACAACTCAGCGATAGCGGCTATTTATGCCACGAAGAATCCTTCAACCTCGTCAAACGCAGCTCCATCGCGCCCTCAGCAGCAGCAGCAGCAGCCAAACACAACGGCCCAAGCCATGAGGGATAGAGACAATGGCAGAGACCCTGCGAGTGACGAGGAGGAGGCTGGTGATGGTCATGAGGAGGGCGAAGAGGACGAGGAAGGGGATAATGATGAAGATGAGGAGGGGGGAGACGAAGATGCCGAGATGGTTGACACAGAAGCAGAAGCGCAACGACCAAATTCGAAAAGGCAGTCACATCAGCAGGCTGACGGCTCATCGGGAGAGATTGCAGGAGGTAGTGGCAGTGGGGCAGGCGAGCCGATGAAAACAAACGAGCAGTCTTCTGGAGATGGAGAAAGTAAGAGGGCGGGAGTTGCACAAGGCTGAATGCATTTGCGTAAAGTTGATGCACCTCCATCCGTCCATCAAGTCGGCAATAATGCATGCTTTTTACCTCTACCCATTTCCGGATACGAATGCATACCGTAGAAACTCGGGCAATTGGCAAAACCAAAATGCCGCAAAAAGAGGTTTTTTGGGGCATAGTACAGCATGATCTGTAGAGCTCGAGTCCGAGCCTGTACTTTGGAACGCAGGCAGGATAGCGTTGGCTAGTTTTGTAGAGCCTTCACTAACTGAGCGGACATATGTACAGGAGTATGCTGCTTCCTGTGCTTACTGTCGGGCGCTCAAAGAGGGATTTGGTTTTGCCAATTGCCCGAGTTTCTACGGTATTGTGAACACTGTAGCCAGCACTTGGATGTTATGTACGTGGGAGATCTTGAACAGTGAAGTTTAACAATCACCTTACCTGCATTGGACAGATTCGGTTTCACTCCTCTCTTCACTCCTCTCTTCACTCCTCTCTTCACTCCTCTCTTCACTCCTCTCTTCACTTCTCTCTTCACTCCTCTCTTGTGAAGCACGAGTGGGTGATTGTCCAAACAGCGATTGTTTATCACCAAACGACAGGCCAAATGAATCATAACTACTTACTCCCTAGTTATTCCAAATGTGTGTCTGCTCAGAGAGTCGAGATACATGACATTTGCACCTTTTAATTTCCTAAACTTGAGAAGGAGGAAAAGGGGAAAGAAATGGGTATCGTGAAATAATTGCCCGGCTACCTCTCTCACTCGCTCGAGTATCTCTATAACAGAATCAACAAGATAACTGGCGGGCTGGCTGACTGGTTCCGGCGACGTGTTGAAGGGTATCGTTCTGAACGCTTTTCAACGCGCAATTGATTTGAAGAACAAGGGCAGACTGGGGAGGGGTGGTGTCCCAATCCAAGTGCCTCGACAAGATTGTATAAAAGAGTCAGCAGATCATGACGGCGCCTTCAGAAAACAAATTGTCCTCGTCACCTCAAAGCATAAAGAGTAGCAGCGAGCGAATCGCGGCACTGAGCTAAGCGACAATGAAGAGTGATGTGATGATGATGATCGATGCGAACAAAAACCTCCTATCCTAAATCTCACCATCCATATCTCGCTCAGCACGCGCGTAACCAAAATGGCTCGAATCAGCCAACAATCAAGAAAAACCCCCTTCCACCCGCCAGGCTCTTCCACCTATAATGAAAGAACACCATTCCATCCATGACCTGAACCATCGTGTTCGTGTTCATTCATAGCCCGAGTTAGAGAAAAAAATATAGTCAAATGAAAAAGCCAAAACACCGTAAACGCCATTTACCCGCTTTCTCCGCGCCTCAAATCTTTCCTGCCCCAAGATCAATGATCTCGCTCTTCTACTCCTCTCTCTAAAAGGCGATTCTCGTCATTTCCAAAAAAAAAAAAAAAAAGAGTAGTTCATCCTCCGTGAACTCAGGTGCCTGAAGCTGCCACGCTGACTGAAGGTGCGACTTTAAGCGCAGGGAAGCCTTTCATATCGGTGTGTAGAAGACCAGCTCTTGAGCTTCTAGCTCTGTTGTGTCGTTTCCTCGGTCGAGCTTGAAGGGGTACTTGTCCCATCGGCGGTCGTTGGCTTCTCCTTCTCCTTGTCCTTTCCTCCTGTTGATGAGGTGTCATTGTTCTTCTTCTTGCTAGACTGTTCATCTTGAAACAAGCCGTGCTCTTCAATGTACTAATTGTATGCCATGTTAGGGTCGAAATTCCGCCACACTGCCTGATAGGAGGGTAACACGATAATGACATACCTCGACAACAGGATCAGGGATAAGATATCGCACGCTCAGATCCTTCTTCAAGAAGAGACGGACTTTGGTGGAGCTAAATGTTGCGGTAAGACAAGTTGTGCGTGTCAGTCACTTTGCCACTAGCTTTACCCGATGGTGTGGTGGTACAAGGGTCCCCTAAGGGTCCCATCCCAACGGGATCGACGAACCTGATGTCATTCTGTATCACTTGGCTGATAACCCAAATGTTGTCTTCGTACTGCCTCAGCGTAGCAAGCGCCTCGTCGATATCGGTTCCCGAGCGCTCAATGATGAAAGCGCCGTACTCCCCGAGAATGACTCCCAAGTCAACCGGCGACCAAAGCCCGGGCTCTCCTGTACAGTGAGTCAGCTTATTGTGCAATGATACACGGCAATATCCTTCAATACAACGTTGGTGGCGTGTGAAAGGGAAGGCGTTCATACCCATTGACATGACCAAATCTGCGCCAGCAAGAAGCGCAATCTTTGCCTTCCTCCGCACACCATCGGTGCCCTCAATGCCACCCAGTACGGTGTTGATCTCGTGGTCGAAGTGTCGAAGCACCCGCGCCGTGGGAACGTAAGCGGGCTCGCCGTTTTCGTCGCAGTTGACCGTCTCGAAGGGGTCGACCATTAGCCAGGAAGAATGTTCGACGGCGCGGGAGCACATCTCAACACGGTGATGACCGGGAGCTAGGCCAGCCTTCTTGTAGGCGTCGCTGACGGGGGAGAGGTAGCCGCCGCAGACTTCGAAGTTGGTATTGAATCGGACAAAGTCGGAGGCCATTTCGAACATGCGAAGGTGGAGGAATGTGATGGCTGCAGAGGAAGAGGGGAAGTGTTAATGGAGTCCTTTTTGCCAAGATACTGTATTGCATTTGAGTACTTACGGGAGAAAGAGCCGCAAGCCACGAGAACCAAAGGTGTCCTCCCAGGCTGCGTTTGTTGGAGCTTCAGCTTGGCCTGGGGGAAGGTATAAGGCACCATGGTGTTGCCAGTCGAGGCTTGCTCGGGAGGAGGATAGGTGACGGGGGTCGCCATGCCCGTTGAAGTTTGGGAAGACATGGTTGGCTTGTTGTATTGTGATGTCTGTAGATGTCCTTTGGCGTTGGACTAGGTCAGTGTAGATGTTGCGATACTAGGTACCGGCAGGGTCGGGTGTCGCAAAGTAATGCGTCCCGGGAGACGGGTGACGCAGCTGGGGTGGAATCGGTCGCTCAAGGCGGCTTGCCGTGGATGCGATGCGAGATGGTCCAGCGGCCAGAGCGCAGAGTGTGCTGGGAGGGGCCACAATGCGGGGTGTCCCAGATGTTGTATAAGCGGCGACGGCGGATCTTGTTTGACGAAGTTGACCGGGTCAAGGTGGATGTGGTGATGTGAGAAGGCAGTTGCCGAAAGCCGGATAGGTCGGTAAGGTGTTCGGAAATACTAAGATACGTCTTGGTGTGTATTCCAATTTCGGACTGCACTGTTCGAGAGGTCACAGTTCTTCCAGCGAAGTAGGATTCGAGGGTATATTTAAGGTAGGTAGTTGTAGATAGCTGCCGGCTCGGATGTGTCAGGTATTGTAGCCGAATTGATCTGACTAGGGAGGACGAGCGCGAGAGTTGGGTGGAGGGCGGATAGTCTGAACTTTGAATCGATTTGAAAGCAGACTAGGAAGTGTGTGAAAGGAGCAAGGAGAAATTCTGGAATCTCGTGGACAACCAGCGCGTTGGGTGTGTGCGTCTGTCTGGCTGCTTGGGAAAAAAAAAAGAGCTGAGCAAATTGTACCTATGCACAGATGCAGAGCGACAGCGATGGCGTGAAGGATGGACGGGCCCTTTTTTTTTTTCAATCAATTTTGTCGAGTTGTTGAAAGGTTTTTGATGGGAAGAAGAAGACGACGACGACCACAACGGGAGGTGGCACAAGCAGGCATCAGTTGCGCGGGGTCCAGGTCGGGCGAACGGGGAGGATTGCCAATTGGTTTGAATTATATAGGTAGGTACTAAGAGATCCAAGAGGGTTGGTTGTTGGATGATAAATACTACAAGTACGGATGGTTCCGATCTCACTGTCTCAATTCCTCACTCTCGGGGCGGCAGTGTGTGTTTGTGGTAGGTTGCTGCGCCCGCTGTCGGCGGCGGGGGCACAGGCTTTGCGGTTGCATTCCCACAATGACTCCATCGGAGGCTGATCCACTCAACAAAATCCACTAAAAAACGCAACCCACTTAGCGACTCCTCTCACCATCCTCAATTGCAACCGACCCTTGCGCTTATCCATGGTCACTTTTCTGTCCTGCAGGTCTGCATGTACAATTGGCTGCTTGGTACTGTACCTTTTGCCTGGGGAAGTGGATGCACATGAGATACCCACCGGTTGACCACCGTGACTCCAGCTCCCGCCGTCAGCCCTCCCGTGCTCCCGTCTCTTGTTCAGTCTGCGGTGGGGGTACAACAGAAGTTTAGTGTAGAGAGGGCCGAAGGGCTCAGAGATCAATTGGGTACTAAGGTACGTAGGCAGCGGTGGTTGACTTGGGGCATACGAAGCTGTGAACGGCTAAAACGTGTGTTGCCTGAGTGTTCTTAAGACTCGTCAGGGTAGGTATACTTGTAAGTGACCCAGACAGCCTGGTTGACCGATGACGGAAGCCCAAAAAAACTGGGATGTGAGGGAATGGAACTCCGGTAATTGATGTTCTAACTTCCATCTTTCCTGGCCGGACACATGCGCTTCAAGTCGAGTAACATCCACGGAAGTCTCCGATCAGAGGAAGAAACCTCATATTGTTTTCTACCTGCAGGTGCTCACGGTTATTCACGGAACTGTGACGATTGATCAGATGCAAGTTGTCAGGTTGAAAATATGTGCTCTAGACAGCTACCTGTGCTGATTCTCGCCGTTTCTACCTACGTATTCGATCCTCCCAAGCTTCATGACCTATCCCCGGGAAGCCGGACTATACACAACCTCACATAAGCGTTGTATCAACCAATCAACTTTTTGTGTACGTTTCGGAAACAATCATTGCTTGTCGGGGTTTTATAGTCGGTAAGCCCAACGGGTCAGCGCTTACCCTCCAGATGCCGAGGAGTGTTCGGAGTTCTCTCGCAGTGGGGCAGCCAGGCACTGGTGCGATTTATAAGCCCAGCTTATGCGGTCCAGCTCTCCTTCTGTTCGGTTTATTTGCGGAGCAAATAATGATTTTCACGCCTGAGTTGTCCTTGCAAATGTTAGCCAGCTCTTTTACTTCGGTGATATCTAGATCACTTCATTTGCTCTGGACATTTAGGTTTTTTTTTCTTTCAACTTTTGACATGAGGGAGTTACTAAGTAGTCAGTACCATTGCTGCCTGTGACGTCGCACTTCAATCCTCTTTCTAGCAATGTGTCTAGGAACAAGAGACCGGAAACATTCATGCGGGTAACACACACCCTGTTCAATTCTAACACAAGGTCCCGAACTACCTTTGCTTTTGTGACCATCATTTCGGGGTTTCTCCATGATGCCTGCCGTAACCAGTTCACGTGGCTTCGATTGCTTCGTTCAAATAGAACGCCTGTACTCTTCACTTTGTAGTCCGTTGCAATCATCAAACCTCCCAAGAACAATGGGGATGTTGCTGGAGCCGTCTGAAGCGAAGAATTAATGGCAGACAGCCTGATTTTTTTCGACAAGACGATTGGCAGCTGGCGGCGATAAACATCGGTCATCGAGGTGCTGGGGAGAATTTCCATTTAGTGGTGGCATCGATGCCTTACATGGATAAATAAATCTGTGGTCCGTGCGTTGATGTTCATTGATGAGGACGGTGAGGACGGGTCTGTCGGATAGATTGCACTCCGGAACGGGCTTCTCTCTTGCACCTTGCAACTTCATGTTGTCGGCCAGAAACCACTGGTCATCTCCTACACGTGAAAGTCTAAAAGTGCCTTTTCACCGAGATGGCGAATAAATGGCCAGCGCTGCGCTTTGCTAGTTTAGGACACGGGAAACAGCCTCTCAAAAACACCTAGAGGTTTTTACTCGTTTCTATTGCATAATGTGTTAGAGCTGTGACAGGCGAGCCTCGAAAGGAACTATTGCTTATCACGCCAGGTTTGGATATGCCCGGTCAGGAAGTCAGGTGGGTGGTTGTTTACTTGGAGAGCTTCAGAGGCTTGTGATCCCTCCTTATGTCTAAACCTTTCATGGAAGAGACATTGCGTTGGGATCAGCTGATGGTATTTGAACGACGTATGCGTCACTGTTCTTAAACCGCTTCACCCTAATATGAACTTCTTGGAGTGGCGTTCAAATTCTACTGTGTTGCTTATCTTGTGACTTAAGCATGGTGGAGGACATTTCTCTCCAGAGACAACTTGTGACATGTCGATGGTGCATCTCATCGCGAGTTTCCTTCTTGATAGAATATAGGCGTGACCCAGTATAGCACTCCTCTTTCTCTTCTAACTACCCAAGCCACCAAACTTTTGGAATTTTTTTTGGAAATATTTTATTTTTCTTTCGCCTTTTCTTTTGCCCTCTAGTTCACTTCGACGTAGTTAGGTAGCCCTGCATACATATGTCCTACAAATATCCCACTTCACTACATCGCGATGCATACTACACTACCTGGCATTGGGTACACCACCAATTGTAAAGCTCATTTGATGAGGAGATAACCGAGGGTAATTACCTATTTTAACGTTGCTCGGCGTTGGGAAGATGCGTTGCGCGCATACTAGGAAAGGCATAAAGACTTGGAATGTGGGGGCTGCCGTGGTCAGCTTTTTCCGAATCAACCAACTCTTTTCCCCAAATGACTACCTCCTGGCCAACTGCACCACAATGGCTTTGAGAATCTGCTTAAAGGCAATTCAAGGTACAATAATGAAGCCCTAGGGAAATATACTTAACATCAATATCGTTCTCGGAGCAACTTGAACTCAAACGTTGTCTGGCGAAAGCCGAAGAGCCCTCACTCACCTCGCTCGCACCCCCTTTCAATGTAAACATGTGGCAGTGCTGATAGCCACAGCGCATGAGCCACACTTGAACAGAGTCAGTACTACCCGCCTAGTACTGGCCCGGTACAGTGCCCTGACGGCGGCGTTTGACTGACTCACCCCGCCAGCCGCCTGTAGGGCCAGTCCTTCCCGTCCCCGTTGACGGCGCTGAATCGAAAAAAATACCCCGCTGTGGATTCGAGTGTGTCAATTGAATCGCGACCGCTGCCAGTGTCGCCTCTAGGAAGAAAAAAAAAAAAACTAAAAAACTAGACGATCTCCCTTGCAACCCGCCCGTCAAAAAGTCGCAACTTGTATTTGTGCATTGTTTCCAGCTTGTCTCTTCGTCCCGGACAGACACATCATAACCATGGCGGATTCGAGTGCTACCACCCCCGCGGCCGCGGCCGACCAGCTCGCCAACCTCCATCTCGACGAGGTCACCGGAGAGCGCGTCTCCAAGAGCGAGCTCAAGAAGCGCCAGAAGCAGCGCCAGAAGGAGGCCGAGAAGGCCGCCAAGGCCGCTACCGCTCCCCCCAAGGCTACCTCCAGCAAGCCCAAGAACGCGGCCGGCGGCGAGGAGGACCTCAACCCTAACCAGTACTACGAGATTCGTACCCGTCAGGTCAACGAGCTGCTCAAGAACCCCGAGACCAACCCCTACCCTCACAAGTTCCAGGTCAACTACGATGATTCCAACTTTGTCGAGGAGTTCGGCTCCCTCAAGACCGGCGAGACCCTCCCTGAGAAGGAGCTCAGGATCGCTGGCCGTATCTACAACATCCGTACTGCCGGTTCCAAGCTGATCTTCTACGGTACGATTTCCTGTTTGTCGAAGCCAGACAAGGACAATGCGCTAACCTAAGTGTGATGCGCAACAGACATCCGCACCTCTGCCGACACCAAGAGCATTGGTACCCGTATGCAGGTCGTCTGCCAGGCTCAGTTGGCGAAGGAGGGTGGTGTTCCCTTCGAGAAGCAGCATGCCCACCTCCGCCGCGGTGATATCATCGGTATCGTTGGTTTCCCCGGCCGCACGAACCCCAAGAACCTCAAGGAGGGTGAGCAGGGTGAGCTTTCCGTCTTCGCAACCGAAGTCCAGCTTCTCAGCCCTTGCTTGCACATGCTTCCCAGTGTCCGCTACCCCTTCGCCGACGCTGAGCAAAGAGCGCGCATGAGGTACCTTGACATGCTCTGGAACGACAGGAGCCGTGAAACGCTCTGGCAGCGCAGCAGAATGGTCCGCTACATCCGCGACTTCTTCCACGAGCGCCGCTTCATCGAGGTCGAGACCCCCATGATGCACGCCATTGCCGGTGGCGCCACCGCCCTTCCCTTTGTCACCCACCACAACGATCTCGACATGGACATGTTCATGAGAGTCGCTCCCGAGCTCTTCCTCAAGAAGATGATTGTTGGTCAGTTCGGCAAGGTTTTCGAGATGGGCAAGAACTTCAGAAACGAGGGCATCGATCTCACTCACAACCCTGAGTTCACCTCCATCGAGTTCTACTGGGCGTACGCTGATGTGTACGACCTGATGTCCATCACCGAGGAGCTCGTCTCTTCGCTCGTCAAGGAGCTTACCGGCTCTTACAAGACCAAGTTCACCAACCAGCACGGCGAGACGTACGAGGTCAACTGGGAGGCCCCCTGGCGCCGCGTTGAGATGATTCCCGCCCTCGAGGAGGCCACCGGCGAGAAGTTCCCTCCTTACGACCAGCTCCACACCGACGAGACCAACGCCTTCCTCCAGAAGATTTGCAAGAAGATGAACGTCGAGTGCCCGCCACCCCTTACCAACGCTCGCATGATTGACAAGCTTACTGGCGAGTTCATCGAGGAGACGTGCATCAACCCCACCTTCATTCTCGAGCACCCCCAGATGATGTCTCCTCTGGCCAAGTACCACCGCTCCAAGAACGGTCTTTGCGAGCGTTTCGAGGCCTTCGTCTGCAAGAAGGAGATTGCCAACGCCTACACCGAGTTGAACAACCCCTTCGACCAAAGACTCCGCTTTGAGGAGCAGGCCCGCCAGAAGGACCAGGGTGATGACGAGGCCCAGCTCGTTGATGAGAGCTTCCTCAACGCCCTCGAGTATGGCCGTATGTATACCCCTGTCATGGACTTTTCTTGTATGGAAGAACTAGTGCTAATACGTGATGTATACAGTGCCGCCTACCGGTGGTTGGGGTCTCGGTATCGATCGTCTTGCCATGTTCCTGACTGACAACTACTCGATTCGCGAGGTTCTTGCCTTCCCCTTCCTTCGTGAGGAGAAGACTGCCCACAAGGAGAAGTTTGCTGCCGAGATTGCTGGCGTCCAGCCTCTTCCTGAGGAGGGTATTCGTAAGTGATTTATGGTGTTCATGGTAGAATGCTTGATGTAGAGACGCTGACTGGTTTGATACAGCCCACAAATAGATGTCTGAATAGCGTAGCGTAGTCTAGATGAATGTCGATGAATACCTTTGGATGAATGAACATGACATGGCTTCGGTTCGCTTTCTTTATTTCCTTCAAAAGTAGGCCATGTCGATTGTCGAGATATACTCAAAAAGCAAATTGCTGATGAAGTCTAAACTCCATTGTGGCCATCGATCTAAAGGGAGATGAATGTATCTGCCTACTTTGGCCCGCCACTAGCCAGACAGTCGATGTTGTCGACCTGACGAGTATACCACTTGGCACCGTGATAGCGAGGCGCAGCTTCTTGGAAATGCTTAGGATGACATCCTCATGCATCTGATATTAGGACGACCCTATGGACATGTCAAGAGTCTCCTCCAGCGACAACCACTCGGCTTCTCAAGCTGCCCGTAGACTGAACGTCTACAACATATATCTACACCATTTATAGCACAGTACATCTCATACGATGATAAGAGCCGCCCAGATTCTTGGCGCGAAGCTCGCAAGCGCCTGAGAAGGTTGTTGATTTCTTGGTATCTCCAATACGGCAATGAATATTTGAAGCCAAGAAATGGTTCTTACGTGTACTGCGTAGTGTATACCACTGCTGACAAAAGTCACACAGCAAAGAAGCAGAATCGAGATTCTGGTAGGGCTTGGCGGATTTATACTATGTAGAGATCTCGCTGGATCATACCTAAATGGGGAAAGCGGGATTTCGGTTCCAGGAGGGTTAGCTGCGTTGTGAGGCGTTGTGAGTGGATGGTGAGTTGCAGAATTGCGTGGCGGTGGATTTTTTGGAACGTTATTGGTGGATACTGTCATGAGTAAGGTATGAAGTGGGACCGTAGGGAAAATGAGGGTTAAATTAATCTGAATATGTATTAAGTCGATGACATGGAAGTCTTTTGGTCGGTTTGGGGAACGATGGGAAGGTGAGTGAGTCTGGAATACCTGGAAAGTGAAGAGCCGCAATAGGGAACTACAGTGACTAGACTGGTGGAAAAGGTAACAAGACGAGAAGTCCGACGAAAGCGATCTGAAGAATGTTAGATTGGAGTTGTGGCTGTCACAGCCGCGGCCTGACAAAAGTTTCAGCTTGTCTTTTGCTGACTACATAGGTAAGGTACCCTGCTGTGCACGTTCCCGTCTTTGCCTCGGGTCTACCTAGTGTACCTGATGCATAACACGCACATGTACAGCGTGAAGAGCACATTGGATTATCTCCGGCGGGCGTCAGACGCAGTCGTGGCAGTGTTTAACGACCAACGACGACAAACAGACTGTATTGGATAATTTCAGTGAGATATTGGAAGATATGAAAGATTTGATGGATACACTGCCACTGCCACGACGGACTTGGTTGAAGATGTCAGGGACGACAGTGCGGTACGGCACCGGCTCGGTTTCCTAGCAATGGTTGAGTGTCAGGGTGTGAAAAAGGACCCCGAAAAAGGGTACATGTAGTGTATGATTCACAAAAGGGAACCCGTCCAGATCCGGTAATTCCTGGCCTTGTTTCGCTGGAGATAACGAGTGGGTGGGGCTCTCTTACACCCGGACACTTTAATTTTGAATCTCGGGCTGTCCAAGAGCCCGGCTTGTGTCTTGGGGTTCAACTTGTCTTGACTGGCGATTTATGTATCCCCGGTTCCTTGTAAATTTCTACAGTACTTTTGTGGGCATTCGGCGGAGAACTGAAGACAAAGGGAAGAAGGGGTCGTATGGCAAGAAGGATATGGATATATGGTCATGGAGAAGAGAGTGGGCAAAAAGGGCAGGAAAAAAAAATAAAAAATTAAAGGCCAAGACATTTCGGGAACTAAGCCTCTCTTTTCCTTCTTCATGCCCGCCTTGGCTGGATATTGAAGGCACCCATCGCATTCGTACACTACTTGACAACCTTGAAGACCGAGCCGAGCAAAGCCTGATCGAGGAATCTGTCATACTGTGTGATGGATAGCGATCGATACATCTTCATAGGGAACCAGTGAACTGGAGAGGAGCGGATTCCGGTAGCCTTCATCAATTTGCTTTTCTCTCAATCCTCCTTGCCCCCTTCCATCCATCTCTTCAAACCCAACCTGTGTTATTAGTACTTTTGCATCTTATATCTGTATTGTCTATTGTGTTCATTGAAAGTTATCACATCGACAGTTTTGCAACTTTTCCCCTTTAACACACCAGAATAATCCCTCCGAGGCTCATTGCGCCGACCCGCACATCAGACGAACGACTTTCATCTCATAATCCTGTTGTGACACCTACTTTTCGGCAGCCACCCCCTGTGTACGCCATAGCTCAACGCCAGAATATAGGGCTGAGATATCAGTTCTCATGGCTTCGCGGCGCTAGTCACACTGACGGAACTAACCGCCAACATGGCGATAATCAGTCAAACATGGACGCTCACGCGCAAGAATCTGCTCATCGTCCTTAACCGACACACCAACGCTACAATTATCCGCGCTTTTGTCCTTCCCGTCCTTGTTGTCGCCTTCCTGAGTTTCGCCAAGAACCTCTTCGTCCCCTACGCCGTTTTCGGCATCAGCAAGGTCCATCCTGTGCGCTCTCTTTCCGACGGCCTGCAAGCCTCCAGCGGGACCGGCCGCAACACGGTCGCCTTTGTCAACAACGGCCTGCGCGGCGGAGAGATTGATCGGGTTATCCAAGAGCTGGCCACCGTTGTGCGTGATGCCGGCAAGAACGCCTCCATTGCCGAATCCGAGCAGGATTTAATTTGGACCTGTCGCGCCTCGCTACGCGGCGTTACCCCTTGCTATGGCGCCGTCGTCTTCTACTCTTCGCCTGATGAGGGTCCTGATGGAATGTGGAACTATACGCTCCGTGCCGATAGTGCGCTGGGTACTGGAAAGATCAATGTTGATAAGGATGACAACGACGCCCAGGTCTATATGCTTCCTCTACAGCGCGCAGTCGATGCTGCCATCACACGCAATGGCCAGCAGAAGCTACCTGAGGAACAGGACGAGTATCCCTTCACCTCTTTGACCAAGGAGGAGCGCGCCGACCGTGTCAGACAGCTGTACCAAAAGACCATATATAACGTTCTGGGTGTCACCTTCCTCATCAGCGTCATTGGTGTCTGTTACCATCTGGTTGGATTCATGGCTTCGGAGCGCGAGACGGGCATGTCGACTTTGGTGGAGGCCATGATGTTCACCAAGAGAACCTGGGAGGGCCAGGCCGCGCGACTGCTGTCATATCATCTCGGCTTCACCCTCCTGTACCTGCCTGGTTACATTGTCAGCTCCATCATCATGTGGGCGGCCGTCTTCAGGACCAGCAGCGTTGGTATCCTCATTATCTACCATATTCTCGCTGGTCTATCGTTGGCTTCCTTCTCTATCTTGGGCGCGGCTTTCTTCAAAAAAGCACAGCTCAGCGGTATCTCCATCGTCATTCTTTACATTCTGCTTGGTGTCATTGCCCAGATCATCACGGCACCCAAGACTGCCACGGTTGTCGTCCTCAGTTTGTTGTTCATGCCTTGCAATTACACCTACTTCATCGCTTACCTGGCTCGCTTTGAGGCCAAGGATATGGCAACCAACCTCGGCAAGAGTGCTCCTGATAGCCCCTCGCAAGTGGCCGGTATCGTGCTTTGGATCTTCCTGATTGTTCAGATCTTTGCTTATCCCATTCTCGGTGCTATAATCGAGAGATACCTCCACGGAACCACTTCTTCTACCCGCAACATCGCCTACGGCGAGAACTCGGAGCTGGGACCCGACAATGCTGTCCAGCTGGATGGCTTCACCAAGATTTACAAGCCGGGCCCTTTTCGCAACATGTTTTCCTTCCTGTCCAAACCGAGAGAGCCCGTTATAGCTGTCAATGGCTTGACCCTCACTGCCCGTCGCGGTCAGATTCTCGTTTTGCTCGGCGCCAACGGTAGCGGCAAGAGTACCACGCTCGACATTATCGCTGGCATCAACAAACTTTCCAGCGGCAGCATCACCGTTGACGGCACCGGCGGTCTCGGAATTGCTCCTCAGAAAAACGTTCTTTGGGACGAGCTCACGGTCGAGGAACATCTTCGCATCTTCAACCGGCTCAAGTCTCCCAACCAGCTTGCCACCAAAGAGGAGATCTTGGAACTTATCAGCGGCGTTGATCTCGCCCAAAAGGTTGACGCAAGATCTGGTACTCTCTCTGGCGGCCAGAAGCGCAAGCTTCAGCTCGGTATGATGTTGACAGGTGGCTCCGCCGTCTGCTGCATTGATGAAGTCTCCAGCGGTATCGATCCACTTTCTCGTCGCAAGATCTGGGACATCCTCCTTGCCGAGCGTGGGCGTCGCACCATGATTCTCACTACTCATTTTCTGGACGAGGCTGATCTTCTTGCTGACCATATCGCCATCATGTCCAAGGGCACGCTCCGCGCCGAGGGGTCTTCTGTCGAACTCAAGAACCGCATGGGGGGATACAGAATCCATCTGAACAACGCCAAGTACATCTCCAACTCGCCCAACGTCTCTGGTGTCCAGAAGAAGGTTTCCCCCGAGGAGATTACCTACATCGCTTCTACCTCGGCCGCGGCAGCTCAAGTTATCAAGGAGCTTGCGGTTGCTGGCATCTCGGATTATCGCTTCTCTGGACCTACTATCGAGGATGTGTTCTTGCAACTTGCTGAGGAGGTTCGGGCGGAAGATGGCGCGAGACTCGACCAGTTCCAAAGCACCGCCGCTGTCTTAGGCGCGCAACGGAGTACGGAAAAGCAGTCTTCGACCGAGATGGTTAACGATGCCCCTGTGGATGACACAACCAAGCCCGGCCTTAACCTCCTGTCTGGTCAGCGTATCGGATATTTCAAGCAGGGTGTAGTTCTCTTCCGCAAGAGGATGACCATCCTCAAGCGCAACTGGTTTCCGACCCTGGCTGCATTTGCCATCCCCATCATCGCTGCTGGTTTAGTCACTCTGTTCGTCATGGGCAAGGACCCTGTTGGCTGCAGCCCTGCAGATCAATCTTCTCGTCGTGTTGCGACCAACCTTTTCGCCTCCGATTTTGACCTCTTCATGATAGCTGGTCCCTCGGACAAGTTCTCGGCCAATAACCTCGCCCGTCTTTTTGCTCCCATCTACATGGCTACCCAGGACAACGCTACCAGCAGCGGCAACTCCTCGGGTATTGGCATGAACCCCCTGGACCTGTTCAAAAACATCACGCTGGTTGACACTTTGGATGAGTTCAACTCGGCTG